ACATAGGAAAAGTTGCTTAAGCACCTTTGGTACCATCAGGGAAACAAAGCAGGTAGCAATAGTTACCTACCAAGATGGCTAAAACGGAAAACAATAGCACATGTTGGCTGGGACATACAGCAACTTGCTCTCAAACCAGCTTTGGAAAGCTGCTTGGCAAGATGTGTTAAAGTTTTAGCTGAGGACACAGCTCAGTGATATAGTATTGTTTAATGTACAGAGTCCCTGGGTTTGATACCTAGCACCAAAAAGGAAAAGAAGATGTTTATTTAAATATGTCTTAGTATGTTGTCAGGGCTGGCCTCAAACTTGTTCTCCCTACTTCAGCCTCCTGAGTTCTGGGATTACCCACCACACCCACATGAAAAAAAGATGGATTAAAGTGTATTGTAAGCCAGTCCTGGTGGCACATTGCTGTAATCCCAGCATTCGGGAGTCTGAGTCAGGAAGATAGTGAGTCTGATGCCAGCTTGGAGCTGCATAGAGAGACCTGTTCAAAACAAAACAATTGCTGTGATCCAGCAATTCCAGTTATAGGTGTATACTCAAGAAAAATACCTCTGTTCACTAAATGACATGAGCAAGAATGTTCTTAGAGGCATTATTCCTAATAACTGAAAACTGAAAAACCCATAGGTAAATAATATAATGGACAAATACAGTAATGATATAATCAAGTAGTAGAATACTACACAGCATTGATAATGAACAAATATTGTTATATACACAATGAAATAGATGATTGTCGTAAATGCCTGAGGGAGAAAACCAAAGAGATAGTATGCTTTCATGTATATAAAGTGTAAAAGCTGGTGACAGTGAACTATGATGTGAGAAGTCAGGAGAGTGCTTACTTTCAAGGAGGAGAGAGGAAGAGGGACTGGAAGATGGCATGAGAAGAAGCCCTGTGTGGCAAACACTTAAGGTCTTCTAGCAGGCCCCTGACACTAAAGCATTAGTCAGCATCATTTCTACAATTTAGTATTTTGCACATAAGGATATGAAAAACTTGGCCCACTGTTAAGGTCAAGTTATACTTGGACCATAGCACTGCTAATAATCCCAGCACTTGGGAAGGCTGAGGCTCCAGGATCAAGACCAGCCTGGACTACACAGTGAGAACCTGTCTCAAAAGAAAAAAAGAGAAAGACAAGGAGGAGGTATGAGAAGGGCTTCTAGAGGGCTAGTAATGTTCTTTCTTGTCTAATTGATTTATTCTCTTGGTAGTTATTTAAGCTGTGCCCTTACAATTTATTTATTTTCTGCATTTATGTCATGGTTCTGTAAAGGCTTTTATTAGAAAAAAAAAGAGCATTAATTTTAAGTAAATTTAGTTTTTCACACCATATGCTTATGCATTTGATTTCGTTAACTATAAATACAGAACTTTGCATTTATTCTTCTGAAACTTCATTGTCATTTCGGTTGCGCTATGTTCCCAGCCCTGCTAAGATAATTTAAGGCTGGAGGTGTAGCTCAGTGGTAGAGCACATGCTACGCATGCACGGGTCCTGGATTTAATCACCAACATCAAAAAAAAAAAATTCTCCAGTTTTTTTTTCATTTTATTTATTTCAGCCCAGCTTTGTTAAGGTAAAGTTGACTACCAGCCCTCAGGAGGCTGAGGCAGAAAGACTGAGTTTGAGGGCAGCCTGGACTACATAGAAAGTTCCAAGCCAATGCAAGCTACACAGCAAGACCTTGTCTTTAAAAAAAAATGCACATACTTATGGTGTACAGTGTGATTTTTTTATTTTAGGTATATCTATACACTGTGAAATTATTCAAGTAATTAACATACCCATCACTGCACATAATTATCTTTTTTGTGGTGAGGTCATGTAAGATTTAGCAGCCTGTGATGCATAGTGAGGCTGTCTTAGGAAGGAAGGAAGGGAGGGAGGAAGACAAGAGGAACAGCTCTTGACTCTGAATTCATTAGACTCCTTTTAATCACCTCTTGCTAAAGTAAGTACTCACGTTTTGTAAGCATGGTAACTATTGAGTCTGCCACCAATATTCAACTCTTTTCCTGTTGCACACATAGTAGGGTTGCACTTCCCTACCTACTTAAAGTCAGGTCTCTGTGTAACTGACTTTCATTAACATGAATAAATGTGAAATATGTCACTAGTGGATGTCACTTTTGAGAGGAGAATTGAGTCTGTCTCATTGCATCCTCTTTCTTACTGCTTTGGCCACCAGAATGTCCCAGTCTGGAGGCCAAAGTGAATGCAGCAACAGAGAGCCCCAGCCAACCCACAGTAGACACATAATATGAGCAAGAAATGAATAAGAAATAAGCCTTTGTCATTTCAAGTTGCTGAGATTTTAGAGTTATTTGCATAGCCTGTTTGATATTGACTGACACACCATATTCTCCAGGATGTATTTTCTGGAATCCCCATGTAGCCTCATCTTTTGCAATTCAGAAGAGCAGATGCTCGTATATGGCATATCCTCAGTACCCACTAGTCACCTGATGTGCTCAAGGAATGCAAACCCTCATGCTCACCAAACCTTGCAGGAAGTTATGAATAATGTGACCTCATGGGGATCCTCTTTTCATCCTTCTGAACTGTGTAAAGCATAGACAGGACCCAGCTTTGGCCAAGAGGAGTGATCTGGATTCTGATGGTCTGTACAAGTTTGCCTTCTTTATGGATATAATTTGTGTATGTGATTGCCATGGTGGAATTTTTCTTATTCCACATCACTCAAAAGAGAAATTGCCTGTCTCAGTGTGTGTTGATGTATGCTCTAATAAACACCTTATTGTTTAACCCACCTTTAAAAAAGAAGAAAACAGGCTGGTGGAGTGGCTGAAGCAGTAAGAGCACCTACCTGTCTAGCAAGCATGAGGCCCTGAGTTCAAACCCTAACACCACCAGAGAGAGAGAGAGAGAGCAAGAGAGAGAGAATAAGTAATTTTTTTAAGTAAAGACAAAGGAAAAAAGTTAGATGAGTATGCTGATGTGTGGTTTTCTAGCCCAATTTTTTGTTCTGCATTATTTTTTGAAATTACATTATTATTTGAAATTATACTTGTTACTTCTTACATTGGTGAATGTAAGTTGTTTGGGGCTGACTACTTGAGTTTATTTAAAATAAGTGAGTGCCAGAGCAATATCTCCTCTCTGAACAAGGTAACAGGATTGTTGGAGTTTTCCCTTGACTTGTAGGCAAAGGGGTAGCTTTTGAAAAGAAGCCAAAGAAATATCCTTCTTTTAGGGAGACCCTGACACATTCCAGTTGTTTTTGCCAGTTTTTTATGAACAGACAAACCTAGGAGGGAAGAACCAGGATTAATTTAATGGTGATGTGTTCAAGGCAAGGACAAATTCAGGATATTGACATCCAGTAGTCCAGAGCCAAAAAACACTTCCTGTTTCCAGATTTCAAATACTCAGACTCCACCTTTACTTTCACCTTTGTTTGTGACCCCAAAAGAAAGAAAATTCTTGGTACAGATATTGGCCCTACGAGTCCAAGATCCAGATGGAGTTTCAAGAAAAGGAAAGGAGATGGCCACTCAGCCATCTCCACTCAGCCTGGAGATTTCTTGCCCATTGCCACTGTAACCTCGAGTCCCAAAAAAGCCCTTTTGACTCCATGTGAGATTGTAACATGAAGATTTGAGACACAGGGGTGTCCTCCATTTTCCTCAGGGTTGGCCTTGAATAAATCTGTTGCCTTCCACCAAAAAATAAAATACAATAAAAAATTTAAAAATCAATAACCTGGATGCTTTGTTATGACTTTCCTATCCTAGATTTCAGTTTTTCCTAGCAGTATTTAAGATTTGTCCTTTTCCTTCTTGTATTAATTCCTTTGATTCAATAAAGCTGAAAAATTCTTTAGCATTTTTCCTAACCACCAGATTCATTATTTTGTTGTTGTTGTTTGGCAGTACTGGGGTTTGAACTCAGGGTTTCATGCTTACTAGGCAGGTGCTTGACTTCCTGAGCCATGCCTCTAGCACCCCAGATTAGTGTTTGAATGTTATCTAATATCTACCATGTAGTACTCATTTTTAAACATTTTAAAGTTTGTCTGTTAAATATACTAATGTTTTCCCTAACTTTTAAAAAATGCTTTCCTAATGTGTTCAATGTATCTGTCTTTTTCCTTCTCATGCCCATATGTCCCAATATGACCTATGTCTGGTTGAAATTATTAGTCAGTTCCTCCCTGCTGGACAGCATTAAAACAAAAATAACAGGTCTTTTTTTTTTTTTCTTAATTCTCTTATTTTCTGTATAACCTATTCCAGGAACTTGGTTTTCTCTGAAAAAGCTGGAGATGCTGTTTTGTTCAGGCTGGTAGAGCATGGTTTTTAACTACATTTAGACATGCACGTGTAATCTCCCCCAGCAACTAAGGAAGACCTTAGGAAATCCTGGTTTCAACATTTCCTGCCACTTACAGCTAAGATCTACCTTTCCAGCTGTCACATACACACCCCTGCCCACACCTGCTCCCACGTGCTTTTTGAACTCTCTCCCTGTATATTTAATGTTAGAGCTTAAAATATTAATCTCTTGCCTCTAGATAATAGTCTAATTCTTACCTACATATAAATATTCATACACATAAACTCTAATCACTTTAAGAAGGAGAAATTTATTTTTTTTTATTGTTTTTTATTTATATGTGCATACAAGGCTTGGGTCATTTCTCCCCCCTGCCCCCACCCCCTCCCTTACCACCCACTCCGCCCCTTCCCTCTCCCCCCCACCCCCTCGATACCCAGCAGAAACTATTTTGCCCTTATCTCTAATTTGTTGAAGAGAGAGTATAAGCAATAATAGGAAGGAACAAGTGTTTTTGCTGGTTGAGATAAGGATAGCTATACAAGGAGTTGACTCACATTAATTTCCTGTGCATGTGTGTTACCTTCTAGGTTAATTCTTTTTTATCTAACCTTTTCTCTAGTTCCTGGTCCCCTTTTCCTATTGGCCTAAGAAGGAGAAATTTAAAATGAGAAACCAAAAGAGAAGGGGGAAGACAAGGAAACATGAAACAGAAGGAAAAGGAATTTGGTCTGAGTGGACAGTGCCACTGATCCACCTACACCAGTACTTGCAGTGAGGGCTTACCCCTACATGAAAATGGACGGCCCATTACATGGCCTTGGTAATGGCACTCATTTTTGTAACAGCTGCTCAGAGTTGGAGGTTCACTCTGAGTGGGTCATTTTCCCTCTGTATAGAAAAATGGTCTTTTTGAAGTGTTACTCACCAACTATGGCATTGTCACCAGTCAATCATTTAAATAAGCAATTCACAGGTTGAAACAAAGCCAGTGGAGAAAAAGAAACAGGAAAGTGAGTGATCAAGTACATTAGGTTTTCTCCATTCCCTACTTTTGTTTCTAGAAGAACTTTTTGGGAACTGCTTCCTTTCACCAGCAAGTCCTGAACATTTGCCTTGGACATGAATGCTCGAAAAGAATTACAGGACCGAGCCATCGTCAGGATAGCAGCTCACTTGCCAGACCTCATTGTCTATGGAGATTTCTCTCCAGAGCGACCCTCCGTGAAATATTTTGATGGAGTCCTGATGTTTGTTGATATTTCAGGCAAGTACAAAAGGGATGTTTGTGTAACATGAGAGAGCATCAAGCTCATATCAGAATCCACATGCACAGCTTGATTGAAGAGTGGGGACACAATTTTTAAGTCCCTATGCTGTTATTACAGCAAATATTCTCTACTGAGAACACAGGAGAGGGAGAATGACATGTGGACCTGGCTCTCTCTTAAGTCTCCTCACCCCAGCTTCCAGTCATGGGTATGTCTGGAAGATGCCCAAGTCCCACACCTGAGACTTTAGGCTCCAGTGTCCCTGCCCCAACTTCACTGCCTCATCCCCCAAGTCTCACACGTATCCCTGACAAAACTGACCTCAAGAAATGATCTCCTTAGATGTTTACTTCTTAGTAGTAAGCATGACCTCTTCAGAAAAATTTGAAATGTGTGTTTTCATCACCATGGAATGAAAGGTTCTATTCCCAAAAGATTTTCAGTTATTATCAAATAAGAATCTGGAATTTCCTTCCCTGGCCCCTAAAATAACACAGAGGAGACTATATGTCTGACACATTACTGCCACAAAAATCATGAAGAAGAAACTCTGAGGGCTAGAGGTATGACTTAAATGGTAGAAACTGGCACTTGTTAAAAGCTAAGTCCCTTGCTCTCCATCGTTGCCCTCTTCTGGTTCTGCTTGGTTCCTCCGAGCAGCCTTGGAAGCCAGCTCACATGTATTACAGGTTTTACGGCAATGACTGAGAAGTTCAGCACAGCCATGTACATGGACCGAGGGGCTGAACAGTTGGTGGAGATCCTCAACTACTACATAAGTGCAATAGTGGAGAGTAAGTGTTCTCGAAGGTATCTGGCATGAGACTCTTTTAATTCATTGCTTTATCTGTATTTGTTGCTTATAACCTAGTACAACCACTTAGCATTATTCATATTCACCAGGAAATGTGTATGAACCAATCTTTTTTGAAATATGCTATGATACAACTGAAAGAATAGGATCAAGTCTCGTGATCTCATACAACTTGAAGGAAAGGATATTTTGCATTAATTTAAGAGTAAAAGAAGTATAGTGGCAATTCTTTTAGTTATACTGAACACATTCAAGTATTTTTAAAAGGTAGCATCCATATAACCCAAACATAGTCATTAAGACATTATTGTATGAATAGATAAGAATGATTTATAATTAACTTATCAGTCATTTGTCCCTAATGAAGGATTCTGAAGCCATCACAGCTGACTGAAAAGTCTGGTTGAAGAAAATGACTTACTCTTGTTAAGATAACCTCTAAGCCTACTATTTTATCAGGATCTATGTTCTCTAGTAATATCTTAATGTTACTCACTAGACAAAACTGAATGCCCCTTAAAGGCAGAATCAATGTCTAATTCCTTTTTGCATTCCACTCAGCACAACAGGCACTCGACAAAAAAAAAAAAAAGTCCTTGTGGGTAAGGGTGTGGTTCAGTGGTAGAGCTCTTGCCTTGTGTTCATTCCCAGCACCAAAAATCAACAATAATATCCATTTTTACTATAAAATCTAAATTTTAAAATGCAAGATGGTAATAAGCAAAGCCTAAGTTGACTATGGCTGTGATTTCCCCTTTCCTGACTGGTCTTGTGGAGTACTACCATTCATCCACACCCCCATGTTCCTAACCCCAGCCCACAGAAAACACTCCATTGTTGAGGGAGAAGGGTAGTTGTCCTCAGGATTTGTGGGAAACCCAATCTTTCTCCATTCTTTCCTGGTGGCAGAAATGGAGCACAGACCCAATCTGAGTCAGTGGCCCCATTCTACAGTTGAGGAAAGAGGCCCAAATCAATTCAGTGAGATGACATCTTTAGTACTAGTCTATTCTGTTCTCTAGTAACTGTTTCTGTTCTAATGAGGAACAAATTCTTGTTACTAAAGCTTTAAGGAAGCAGATTTTTATTTAGTTTATTTTCTCTTTTTTTTTTTTCAGAAGTGTTGATTTTTGGAGGAGACATCCTAAAATTTGCAGGTATGGAAGCTGATTAAGTAGGAAGGGATAGGAAAGTACTGAGAAGCCTGGGCATTGAAAGAGGAGACATCTCAGAGTCATGGCCAGGGGATAGCTCGAGGGATATGTGAAGAGTAACACAGAGCTCATACAAAAATGCCCTGGTTCCCACACTACGTCCAAAGCCCCCATTTGTCTCTCTCTTAAAGGTGACGCACTGCTAGCCTTGTGGAAGGTGGAACGAAAGCAACTGAAAAATATTATCACGGTGGTAATTAAATGTAGCCTGGAGATCCATGAGCTGTTTGAGACTAAGGAGACTGAAGAAGGCCTAGATATCCGGGTCAAGATAGGTAAGTACTGGGCTGGTGGAATGGCTCAAGCAGTAGTGTGCCCGCCTAGCAAGCACAAGGCTCTGAGTTCAAACCCCAATTAAAAAAAAAAAAAGATAGGTAAGTGCTTGAAAAAGAACAGATGCTACAGAAGTTGGGATATGAGTCCTTGCTCCTGGCTCATGTTTTTCCTAAAGAGAAAATGGGGGGAATATAGTGGCTAGGCTCCATCACCATTCCTTGAACTTCAGAATAAGACTGACCAGAATGGGAATTTTAGCTGCCTCACTTAACCAGCTAAGAAAATTTGAGCCAGGTCACCGGTGGCTTACTTCCTGTAATCCTAGCTACTTAGGAGAGATCAGAAGGATTGTGGTTTAGTCCCAGGCAAATAGTTCATAAGGCCTTATGAACCCAGCACAAAAAAGTGGTAAAGTGACTCAAGTGCTAAGAGTGTCTGCCTTGCAAGAAAGAGACCCTGAGTTCAAACCCCAGTACCACCAAAAAAAAAGAAAAAAAAATTGAACTGATCATTATGTCTACCTAATGGGTTATTACAAAAAGTAAATTTCTTTATGTAGTGCCTGGCACATATTAACCATCTTCATTACTACTGTTGCTGTTGTTAGTATATTTTGCTGTACAAGTTGTGTAGCATTAAGTACAATACAGAGTAGTTTGCCACCACATAGATTCAGCAATGACATGAGATCAGTCATACCCTACTTCATAAGAATGATATGCAAGGAAAAAAACACAAAGGAAAAAAAAGAATGATATGCAAGAAAAGCTTAACAGGTAAGCCAGAAACACAGCTCCAGTTTTATACCAGGCCTGGTGAGGTAATACATATAAAATGGTAACAACCTCATACATTTTCATATTACATTGAAGAAGACATTACACACTGGTTTTTTTGTTTGTTTGTTTGGTTTGGTTTGGTTTACTTGTTTTGTTTTGTTGAGACTGGATCTCACTACATATCGTAGGCTAGCCTTGAACTCACCATGTAGCCCAGGCTGGTCTTGAACTTTTGATCCTCCTGCCTCTGCCTTCTGAATACTGGAATTAGAGGCATGCCATTCCTGCCTAGTAAGTCATTTCATTTCACCACAGTCTCAAGGTATAGGCCTTATTGTACCCATTTCATAGCTGAGGAATGAGATTCTGAAAGGTGTAAATGATGAATAACAGCTAGAGCTATGTTTGGTGCTGTTGGTGTTAGCTTCTGCCTAACTAAACTCTGTAATACTTAGAAGTTTCAAGGATCAGAGCTCATGGGATCATCAGAGGTTATCCAATTCACTGTTTCTCAGCATTCTTTAACTTAGGTCCCTTTGGCTGTTTTTCAAAATTTCCAAATGAGTTAAATATGTTGTTGAAAAAAAATCAGTCATTTTAATATTATTTTTTCAAAGTTGACACACACAAAGACTGATGTAATGTCCTTCTTCAGAATGATGGTATCTCAAATGAATGTTGTGTGGCTGATAGACAGGTGGGTTCTAGCATCTTTTCTTCTGATAGCACTAAGATAGTGTATTTCAGATGGAAAACAAATTTTATGCAGTACCAGGGGAAATCAGCTTTGATAAATCAGCACATCGAGAGCAAAGATGAAGAATAAACTTTGATTATATTAAATTACGGTTACTGAAAAGAACAATGAAATACATATAATATATGTGTGTGTGTGTTACATATGTGTGTGTGTGTGTGTGTGTGTGTGTGTGTGTGTGTGTGTGTAGTGGACATGTCCTATTTTTCATCACCCGTCTTCTACTGCTCAGGTACCAAAACCTTCATCTCTCAACTTGAAAACAAAAAGAGCAACATGGGACATGTGTCTGCCAAATGCCTCCTCCTTTTCTTTCACCCTTTAGCTGTTGCCTAAAATTAGAAATTCTGATAAAATGAAAATACTCCCCAAACAGGAATTATTAAAGTTTTTTTCTTATTGCCCTTAAGTATAATGAATTGAAGACAAGGTAAAATTACTTTGGGGCTGAAGGCATGGCTTAAGCAGTAGAGAGCCTGCCTTGCAAGCACAAAGCCCTGAGTTCAAACCCTAGTACTGCCAGTAAAATAAAATAACAGGGCCACCTAGGGAGAGAAAACTAATGACTGAACTTTTTAGCTTTGAAAGAAGGGCATTTTTGAAGCCCAGGGTCTAAGAAGAGACATTCTCTGATTCTTATGGAGAATTTTAGAAATGGGATTTTGCTCTGAGGTAGTACCAAGATTCTGATTTTTTTTCCAAGAGTCAATGCTGTTGGAGAATAACCCAGAACTTCTTAGCAGAAACCTTTGGTTGCCTTCTTGCCAGGATTGGCTGCTGGCCACATCACTATGCTGGTCTTTGGAGATGAAACATGCAACTACTTTTTGGTAACCGGCCAGGCAGTGAATGATGTACGCCTTGCACAGAACATGGCCCAGATGAACGATGTCATTCTGTCACCAAACTGCTGGCAGCTTTGTGACCGGAGCATGATTGAAATTGAGAGGATTCCAGACCAGCGAGCAGTTAAGGTAGGTGTGATGCTTTTGCCTGCAGAAAGTCCTACCAGTCATGGCAGCAAAGTTGATTCTGGGAAACTCTGGGTTAGGCTAAGGAGGCTTTCATCCAGGACAACTCTTCTAGGAGCTGCCAAGGCTGGAAGTTCAAGGAGGATATGATCAAGCTTCTCTACCAGGTAACTAAGGATGTGGAAGTTGGGTGCTGAGGTGGGGTGTGGGGTAAAGTGACCTTGTTCAAGGAACAAGAATGGAAGCATAAAAATAGTCCAGGTTCCAGGGCTGGCTTATGCAAAAAACGAGACCCTTTCTCCAAAATAACCAGAGCAAAAAGGGCTGGAGGCGTGGCTCAAGCAGTATAGCACCTGCTTAGGAAGAGCAAAGCCCTGAGTTCTAAACCAGTTCAAAATCCCAGTACTGAAAGAAAGTGAGAGAGACAGAGAGAGACAGACAGAAAAAGAGACAGAGAGAGAGAGAATACCACAGAAATAAGGTTTGGCAGCTCTAAGTATGCCATATTATGGAGGTCCTGACCTTATTACTAGTGGTATTCCTAATTTTTTTTCTTTTTGTGGTGCTAGGGATTCAACCCAGGCACATATTAGGCAAGCATCCTCTACCACTTGAGCAATGCCCCCAGCCCTCTAATACCTGTACTGGGCATTAGCCCTCTTTGTCCTTTAACACTTATAAGAAAGACATGGTGTACAGTTTAACCTGGCTTTATTTGAATTTAAATGTGAGAGGAGAGAGGGACAGCAAAAAAGGTTCTGAAGAGGCCAATAGGAGAAGGGAACCAGGAACTAGAGAAAAGGTTAGTTCGAGAAGAATTAATTTAGAATGTAACACATATGTACAGGAAAGCAATGCAAGTCAACTCCTTGTATAGCTATCCTTATCTCAACTAGCAAAAACCCTCAGTCCTTCCTATTATTGCTTATACTCTCTCTTCAACAAAATTAGAGATAAGGGCAAAATAGTTTCTGCCTGGTAGTGAGGGGGTGGGGGGGAAAGAGAAAGGGCAGGGGGAAGGGGGGAGAAATAACCCAAACATTGTATGCACATATGAATAAAAGAAATTTTAAGAAAAAAGAATTACTATCATTAAAAAAAAGGTTCTGAGGGTAGAAAAATATAAAGTTAGTCTTCTGGAATGGCCCTCTTATGTATATAACAATCATCAAGATCTTAACAAATAATTAGAAAAACTTTTTAAATTTCCTTTAAGTTTTCTTTTTGAGTTGGGGACTGTACCTAGAGTCTTGAACATACATGAGCACTTCAGTTTTACAAATTGAAGGCCAAGCATCTTGATGCATGCCTGCAATCCCAGCACTAGGGAGGTGGAGGCTAGCCTGAACTATATAGCAAGTATGAGACCAACCTGATCTCCATAGTAAGACCCTATCTCAAAAAGAACTCAAACAAACAAAAATTGAAGATCTTTAGTGTTTAAGTATGCAATCACTATTTGCCATGTTCTAGACATTCAAAAACATATTCCCTGACTCTCTGCTGAGAAATTATACTCAAAGGACCATAGAACCCTTATAATCACTGAAAACTTCTTTCATTTTATTTAGGTTAACTTCTTAAAACCACCTCCTACTTTTAACTTTGAAGAATTTTTCACAAAGTGTATGACTTTCATGGATTATTATCCTTCTGGTGACCACAAAAGTAAGTATCCTCCATGGACAAGAGCTTTTCCTTCTTCAGAGGTCAGGAGGTTCTAATACCAATGCCAACAGATCCATGACAAGTGGCAACACTCCTCAACACAACTCTAGTCCTTACCAGCACACAAAGGGGACCTACTTTCAAGTCTCCAAAACAGAAACTCTTTTTTTTTTTCTTTTGGTGTGGTGGTGGTGGTACTGGGGTTTGAACTCAAGACCTCGTGCTTGCTATGCAGGCACTCTACCACTTGAGCCACACCTCCAGGCCCAGAACAGCAATTCTAAATATAACCCTTCTTACCCCTCTACCTTCCCTTCTATCATATTCCAAATATTGTAACTCTCCTGTAATTAAAGAAAACAATCTATCTTTGACTCCTATTTACCCCTCAAACTTCTCAGAAGAATAATCTGTACTTGAAGAATAATTTGTACTTGTTCTTGTATCCTACATTTATTTATTCATCTAATAAACACTGATTGCCTTGGGATATGTGTGCACCTACTCTTCAGTCTGTTTTTATATTCTCATTTTATATTTACATATATATTTATATTTTATATTCTCAGTCTGTTTCTCATTTGCTTTTTTTTTTTTTTTTTTGGTACTGGGAACTGAACTCAGGGCTTACTGCTTTCTAGGCAAGCACTACCACTTGAGCTATTCCCCAGCCTAAAACTTATTCCTAAGTATTTTATTCTTTTATACCGTTGTATTTTACATTTTGGGGGTAGTACTAGGGATTGAACTCAGGGCCTTGAGCTTTCTAGGCAAGCGCTCTACCACTTGAGCCACGCCTCCAGTCTTGCTTTTTGCTTATTTTTAATACAGGTCTCTCTATATTGCCCAGGCTGACCTCATACTCCAGGGCTCAAGTGAACCTCCTGCCTCAGCTTCCCATGCTAATCTAGTCTGCAACCCTGATAGCTTCTGCCCCTTCCCCTCTGTCTGAAATTGTTTATACCAAGCCTACCAAGTGGACTTGCCAAAATAGGTAGCTTTCCCTCAGGCCACATTCTAAGTGGTTAATTTTGGATTGATCTTTTTCTAGATACTATGTTCTTCATTTTCCTTGAGTTCAAGAGTATTCTTCTTTTCTAGTTTTGCTTTTATCTCTCAAACCACCCAATTTTCAGTGCTCTTTGCTTAGTTTCCTTCCCATTCTGTAAGTGTTGATGACTTCAAGGATCTGTCCTTAACCTTCTACTCTTCTCTACTCATTTCTTCCTGAACTCTTCATTCATGCTTAACTTGCATAGGACTAGAGTGAGGCACAAAACTGAAGGAGGTCCTCACTCTCAAGGTCCCACAAATTGCTAGTGTCACCCAGATCCCAACCTAAATGGCCACAATTTAGCCCAGACTTTTGTCCTGAATTCTAAGACAGACTTTTGTCCTAAATTATCTTTTTAAAATTGCTTACAAGCCATCTTCATTCCAGCATTGACATTTTTAAGCTTTTTTCTTATTATAAATTGTTTTAACTTAATACTGATTAATATTCCGGAAAACAAATTTAAATCATGGAATTGTGCATATGATCATTAGTTACATTATAACATTGTTAGTTTCCTTATCATTTATCAGCACTGTCAACAGAATACTGTGAACAAGATCACTTTGTATATGTAAGTCTGTGATGATCTCTAGCTATAGTTTTCCTTCTTTCTGGTTTTTTTTTTTCTTTTTTTTTTGTGGGACTGGGGTTTGAACTCAGAGCTTTGCACTCACAAAGCAGCCACTCTACTGCTTAGTCACACCTCCAATCTATTTTGCTCTGATTATTTTGGAGATGGGATCTCGAGAATTATTGTCCAGGCTGACCTGGAACCTCTATCCCCACCATCTCAAGTAAGTAGCTAGGATTACAGGCATAATCCAGCACCCAGCTAGGATTTTCTATTATGAGCTGATACCTATCTATATATGGAGATGGGTATAAAATATATAGACACATTAATGTGTACAATTTTCATGGTTAAAAAAAGTATTTTTAAAACACCCATTTATACTAAAAGGGAAGATGTGCGGAGACTTGGCAGTACTTGACCTTGTTTTCTGTAAAAGTGACAAGACTCGCCAGAGACATTTACTAAATTCTATGGCACTAATGTGTAGTGGGCTCATTTTCAGACCATTGGCTACAGAGGCCCTTATTCATAGGGCTCTGCCACAACATATCTAAACTTTAAGCTATTATACTTTTCTAAAAACTGTTCCTTCATCAAAACAAGAAAGGAAAATGAATTTTAAAAAAAGAACAAGAAAGGAATATTAAAATGTCATAGTGAAACCCATTATTTTGTACAATTAGTGGGTGCTAATAAAAAAATTTTTAAACCCAGAAAGGCTGAGACCACATGACTCAAAGCTCTACCCCTCTAGTCAGATGATTGGTCTTTCTGGCCAACCACTAGCCTGAGTCATCCCGTGAGCTGTTGTTGTGGTGTGGTCTAAAGATTTTCCTCTGCCTCAGAAATTCCAAGGATTTAGAGGTCAACTGCTACAAAACTGGAATAAAAGCCTGTGAAGTTCTTCAATGTGTAACAGATAACCTCTTCAGAACTATTGCTACCATCATGGCCCAGGCCTTTAAAAGCCTCCCTTCTCTCCTTGCTTCTCTCCACCATCTGCTCAATGTTATTTCCTCTGAACTTCTGGTACTCACAGGGGACTCCAGCCAGGCAAGAGTCTTCACAGTCCTTTAGCATACCGTGCTGACTCTTGGAACTAACCTACCTCATTTGCTGTGCTGGATGCCCTGCTGAATTATTCTGGCAAAATGTCATTGCCACTCAATATTCAGTTAAATACCTACTTCTCCTATGAAACTTTTCTGACTAAAGCAGCTCACACAATCACTGTTTCCTCTGAGTCTCTCTGGTCCTTAGTGTCTACTAGCTTAATTGGCCTAGTTACTTTTATTTTTCTATTTAGCTTTTCTACAAATATTTCAATGTCCATAAGTGCCTCAAGGAAAAAACTAAGTTTCCTAATTACTTTTTTATGCTCATACAGTGTCTAGCATGGTTGTTTCAAATATATGAGGTAATCAAGAAGCACCCTCAGTCAGGTGCAGTGGCTCATGTCTGTAATCCTAGCTACTCAGGAGGCAGATTGGGAGGATCAAGATTCAAGGTCAGCCTGGGCAGTAAGTTTACAAGACCCCCATCTCAACCACTGGTTGTGCATGGTAGCGAACAGATATTATTCCAGCTACTGTGGGAAGCATAAATACAGTATACATCTGAGACCCTATCTTCTTAAATAACCAACACAAAAGGGTTTGGTGGCATGACCTGTCTAGCAAGTGTAAGGCCCTGAAATTCAAACTTAAGTCCCAAAGAAAGAAAGAAAGACTCAAAAGTTAAATTTGCCTATTCATTCATACCACTTTGAGGCACCATTTTTATTTTTTATGTAATTTTTTCATATCATTTTATCCTCTGAAAATTTCTCACCATTTCTCTCTCTCTTACTTTTTGATTTTTTTCAAGATCATTTTGATCATTTCCCACCAGATAGTTTCAGAGCACAGAGCAGGAAGATCCTAGTTGGAGACCAGCCTGGGCTGTATAGCAAGACCCTATTTCAAAACAGGAAAAAAAAAAAAAAAGACTGGGAGTGTGGCTCAAGTGATAGGGCATAAAAAAGAGTCAGATAAACAGCTTAGTTACAGCTTGGTAACTTGGAATGTTAGTGTGCATGAATGCATTTTGACTTTATGTCTGGTTTATTGGGGCTCAGTGCAGGTGCTCAATCCAGGACAATGGCCTTCTGTGACTTTTATGTAACAGTCACAAGCCAAAAGCCAGTTTCCTGAATTTGACTCTTGCTGCTCTTCAATTATCCCATCCCCCTCGTTCTGACCCTGCCCTCCTCTATTGTTATCCTTCATTTGTCTATCCCCTTTGGCAGTCATTTTTTAAAATTTATTTATTTTTATTTATTTATTTATTTAGCCATGCTAGGGATTGAACTCAGGGGCTCACACATGCTAGGCAAGCACTTAAACCACTTGAGCCATGCCCACTGCCCATGGCAATAGTTTTAGATCAAGTCCACATGTGACGACAATTAGATCAGAGTTTTTTGAGCTATATGTGACTAAATTCTGGGAGGCCCACAACCTGTTAAGACCTCCTCTTTGGATTTCCTGTGGCCCATTTTGACCATTGGATGCCCCAGGGTCTCCTGATTGAACTATGAGGACCATTGCCCAAGGAAATGGGAACAGACAGGCTCCTATGTCTAGCATTGCTGAGCCAAGCCTCCCTTCCTGAGCCTGCCCCATCTTTCTGCCCTCTTAGACCTCCTGAGGCTTGCGTGCATGCTGGAGCCTAATCCTGAGCTGGAGTTGGCCCTACAAAAGTACGTGATGGAAAGCATTTTGAAGCAGGTATTTTTTATAATTAAATTTACTAACTTTTGGGGTGTCAGAGATCTTGGACAGCTGGAAAGACTAAAGAAAAAAACCCCAAGTTGCAACTAATTAAATGTTCCTAAATAAAAAGACATTCTATATGTGTAGGTGACACAAAAGTTTATTGTTCAAATCAGAATATTATTAAGTATGGCGGGGAAAACAGGGCGAGAAGATGCAGCTCAGTGGTAGTGCAGCACTTGCCTAGCATATGTAAGACCCTGAGTAGCATCTCCAGCAAAAAAGGGAAAGAAAGAAAAGGAAAAGAAAAAGGAAAGAAGAAAAGGAAAAAAAGAAACAAACAAAAGGAGAGGGGGAGGGGCAATAAAGGAGAATGCTGGAGGGGATGAATTCAAGTATAATATATTTGATATATTATAATAACTTTTGTAAATGCCACAATGTACCCCCACCCAGAACAGCAATAAAAAGAACATTAAAAAAAAAAAAAAGAATCAGCTAAACATAAAAAAAAGAAAGAAACAAAAGGAGAGAAAAAAAGGTTGGGGGGGCATTATTCATAATTACACAGCAAAAACTTTATATTTGCCCAGTTACCTTACATAACTGGGAAAACTGGAGCTGTTGCAAGCACATGACAACACATGGTTCCTCTTTCTATATGGCACAGGGCAGAAAGCTATCAAGTGCATGACCCTTGGTACATTGTTTCTTGCATTAGATCTTAAATTTTGAGATTTAACAATACAGGTAATTAGAACACTTTGAACTACCTTCACCTTCCCAAAGCTTTCTCTTTTTGTTCTTTTAGATCTGGACTCAAATACCTTAAGCCATGTAAATTATATCTTGGCACTCACCACATGACCAGTCATCCTGCTATTTCATATATGTACTCTTGGTAGTTCTTGGTAGATATTTTTAATCTCATTTTACATATGAGAAAACCCAGAAAGATAGGAATTTTCCCAAGGTTGTACGATAAGAGGTGTAACTAAGGTTTGAATCTTCGTCTGAATGAGTGCATCTGTTTTGGCTCAGGCTATATACCCTCCTAACAGATGCCTGTCTTAATACTTTAATCCCAACAATTCACTTGTATCCTGGAGGAAATCTTTCTAAAACAAGCCTAATCTGTGGGCAGCTGCCATCTGTGTGTGGGGGTGGGGGGGAGAGTTGAAGCAGTATCAGAACACACCCTTCCACCTTAAGCCCAATGTAAACACATTACCTCCAGTGCAACAGAGCACAATGGTTTCTTGCCCCTTGTTGAGTGCAAAGCTAATAAGCACAACCAGGAGATAAAAGAATGAAGCAAAGTTTATTACTTGCAACAAGTAAGGAGAGCACTGGAGATAATTCCCAAAACATGTCTCCCTGAGCCAAGAAAGCAGGGACTTTAATTGGGGAAATTTATACATATTCATATAGGAAAGACTCATTATTGCATGTAGAAGTGGGCACAATTCTGAGCATGCTCAGTTGGAGACCATACATTGCATGTTCCAAAACAAAATGGTGGACCAGGAATGCCTCTGGGCAGAGAAATTAGTATTATAATGAGCAAAGTTTATTCTAGATCACCTAAAAATAGGGAGACAGAGTAACTCAGCGATTTTAGAGAGTCTCATCTGAAACAAACAACAACATAAAGCAACTTTGCAGGAGCTTTAATAGTCATTTAAAGGGGCAGAGGTCGAACACCCCAAGTTAAGATGATTGCCCCTTTAGGTACCTGCCTAGTGGCTAACACTAGTGCTCACAATTGTTCAGCTCTTCAAGATTTTTGAAGCTCAAGTCCCTCTGTATAGCCCTCCCTACCTCAAGAGATTAAACACATTATGCTTCATTAGTGGCGACCAGCTAAGAGCAAGGTCTATAGGAATAGGGTACAAGAAGGACTCCGTGAGTCACTGGGAAAATTGCAGGTAAGAATAATGAACACTTGGTGAAGAGGTACAGCCAGGGTGGCTGAAAGAAGGCAAAAGAAAAACGTTTCACAACTTAACCAAGGCCTACCCCAGCACTTAACAGAGGTCCTTATAGATGCTGTGGTTGTCTTCCAAGCCAAAACTCAGAACACGTGGTCTGATAGAAAAATTTTGTAAAATTATTTGTGAATGTATTTGAAAAACCAAAGAAAATCATTATACTGGTTAGACAGAAATCACATCACTTTTGTGAAAACAATAGAATTCTGTGAAACCTATCCTAGTGCTACCCCAAGCATGGCTGTTTTATTCCCTACACCAGTCCCCCTTTTCTTCTAGAATATGAGGCAGGACCATGTGGCAGATGGAATATTGGAATAAGGGTCTGAAGATTTGCTACTTTCTCCCTACTTAACCTTGGAAAAATTGTCTTACCTCTCCATGCCTATTATCTAACCTGTAAAATGGGAATAATAATGCTGATTTTATTTTGTTTGAAGATAGATTGGAATAGAATGTAAAAATATTCAGAAGGCACTAAGTTATAAAACTAGGAGGTTGAATTACATGGCAAGCTAATTCTTATCCCTTACTTGTGAAAATAAGAGTTCCAAAAGGAACAATAGTTCTTCCTCTTGTGAAGACTCATACTGTTTTGAAGGAGCTAATAGTTGGGTAATGGAGTGATGATGGCCAAAAATTAGCAACTATGTAAATCCTCATCAAAAAGACTCCCCATACACAAGTCCCCAGTACTGGGGATTGAACACAGGGCCTTCCACTTGCTAGATAGGTGCTTTACCACTTGAGCTATATTCCCCAGCCCTTTGTGCTTTGTTGTTTGGTTTGTGTGGATGTGTGGATGTGTGTGTGTGGTGCTGGGAATCCACAGAAGCAATTTGGACAGTCATTCTACTTCCAATTACCACATTTTAGGCAGACTGGCTCTGCCATGTTGTACCAAACACATCCCGATAACTTCAGTTTCCCCAGAGTCTCAAAAAGCTAGTTTCCTCCTAGTGATGATTTTGGGTAAGGGTAGAGTGGTGTTGAGAGAAAGGATCCCCTGACACAGGTCTGCTCTCTTCCTTGCAGATTGTTGACAAACAGCTTCAGGGTTATTTGTCTGAGCTTCGGCCAGTGACAATTGTGTTTGTGAACTTGATGTTTAAAGAGCAAGACAAAGCAGAAGTCATTGGCCCGGCCATCCAGGATGCCTGTGTGTACATCACTTCTGTCCTGAAGGTCTTCCGAGGTCAGATCAATAAAGTCTTCATGTTTGACAAGGTAAATATGAACTCAGGAGTGGGAAACTGCCAATAGTTTGAGGTTAACATTCATGCCCAAGTATTGTTTTTTTGGTTTGTTTGTTTGAGATAGGGTCTTGCTATATAGCCTCAAACTCAACATCTTTCTGCCTCAGCCTCCCAAGTGCTGGGATTATAGGCTGAGCTACCAGGCCCAGATCTGTTTTTGCTTTTTTTTTAATCTCAAGAGCAGAGCACTTAATTACTGTCCCAACTCCACTCACCTGCTATTTCAATAAGTATTAACTGGGCATTTCATAGTAGACTGAAAGCAAGGGTGAGTAGCAGAAATGAGTAACTCACACTCATTGTCACAGAGCTGAGCAAGAAGCACAGATTCCATGTGCTATGAGAGTTCCCAGGGGCCAATTATTTCAATTCCACTGTTCCCAGTACCTTCTTCGATATTCATTCATGAGGATCACAAGACAAGAGCAGAGAATCTCAGGAAACAGTTTTAATTTATGGTGCTGAGAATGAACTCAGGGCCTTGCCCACACCAGGCAAGTACTCTATCACTGCACTATACCCTTAGTCCAGAGAACAGTCCTTAGAGTCTTATAAAGATAGTTCCAGTAATTCTCTGTGACCTTAGCAAGTCATTGAATTTCTCCGAGCCTTGGATCAGAATTTCTGATTCCAGAACTAGTGCCTTTTCCACTGCTCTGTGCTGCTTCTTAGACTTACACTTTGCACCTTGCAGCATAAGACTTGGCCACAGGACAGAGTAGCTTAGTACAGCTCACTATCTCTGGAGCAAAAGTAAGCCATTCTCAAGTACTTGAGACCTACTCTTGATGCACTAGAAGTTTACTGAAAATAAAATAGGTGTGTGAGAAATCATGTTGAAATTTGACTCAAAGTGAAAATTTCTGTGGCCTGTTGTTGAGGCTCTGGATAGTCCAGTTTGAAGCCGAGGATCTACCAGCTATATTCGCTGACTCTCTCCCTCACAGGGCTGCTCCTTCCTCTGTGTCTTTGGTTTCCCTGGGGAAAAGGCACCTGATGAGGTTACTCATGCTTTGAAAAGTGCTATGGATATATTTGACTTCTGCTCTCAGGTCCACAAGATCCAGTGAGTGTTGACCATGATCCCACCCAGTAGTCCTTGGCTTTTTTTTTTTTTTTTTTAAGGAAAAAGGGTGGGTATGCAGGGAACAGGAAAGAAGGAAAAGAACTAAGAACTTAGTTCTGTGCCTCAAACTGTCACTTCTTCATGTCTCCAGATCATGTACAATTGCCTGAGATGATTACAAGAATTATTTATTGAAAATCCGTTCCCTTACCTCCCTACCCTGTTCGTCATTTCCCCACCCCTATCACTTCCTCTATGCTTATTATCTTCTTTTTTTAATACTTACTGTCTTTATCTGTTTTCTTGCAACTCTCTCTCTGGTACCAGTACTGTCTCCATTGGCGTTGCCAGCGGGATTGTCTTCTGTGGAATTGTTGGACACACTGTGAGACACGAGTACACAGGTGCGCTGAGCCAGCTTAGCTCTCTTTTTTTCTCAGTAACTACAGTTCTTGCTACTGAACTTTGAGGGGGCCGGGGGGAGGACAAAAATAAGAGAGCTTATAGTCTTCCTGATGGAACCAAGCCATGTAGCTTTGCCCATTGATTGTGCATGACTATAAGAGATATGAAGACACTGGAGATGTTACCAATATCTTCCACCAGAGGGCCTGGCTCCAGAGATCTCAAAAGGCCAGGTCTGGCCACTCACCAAGAAATTTAATCATCTAATAGACAGTGGTGGTGAAGCAGGAAAGGGGTTTATTCGGTATAGCCACACAGGGAAGAAACAGGGGAGCTAGCATCCTAAGCTCTGTTTTCAAGGTACTGATAATGGAGCCAGGGTTATGTAGGGAAGAAGTAGGGCAAGAGACAAGAAGTGTATGTAGTCAAGAAGTCTTAGTCAGACTGAGATCTGGTTGATCATTATCTCAACTCTGGTTCTGCAGGGTACTGCTGGCACCAGGGAAATCATTATTACTTGAGGGGGACAATTTTTATTCCTGTCATGAGATAATTACCTACAGGGCTTATCATTCTGGAGTCTGAGATAGGGGAGGAGAAATGAAAATGACTCTAAGAGAAAGAACAAATTAGAGACAAAATGGAATTAGTTAGGACAATGACCCATGTGTTAGACTTTTCATCACTGGGACAAAATGCCTGGCAAAATAAGTTCAGAGAAGAAAGATTTATTTTGATTCATGGGTTCAGAGGTTTTAGTCTCCCATCACTTGGTTCTGTTACTTCTGGGCCTATGCATGATGAGGCAGAGCATTATGGCTCACCTCATAGAGGACAGGAGGCAGAGAGCAAAAGAGAAAGGGGCAGAGAAGCTGGATACATCTTTTGAGGGCACATCCCCCAATGACCTACTTCCTCCCTCTAAGCCCCACCTCCTACCTTTCACCACATCCCAACAATGCTATCATATTATGGAGCCATCAAGGGATTATCCATTTATTAGGTCAGACTCCTCAGGATCTAATCACTTTCCAAAAGCCCATCAGCAGGCAACCTGAGCCTGTGGGAGATATTTCATATCGTTCAGATCCCCAATTTTAAAGGAGCTCCCGTTACAAAGAAGGGCAGTGAAAAGCTAGATTCTCATTCAGTTTAAGGACTGTTATAATAATTTCCTGTTAACATTAAATTTTATTTCTTTTCATTCTTGGAAGAGGTTAGGACTGCTTCGTAAAAATTATGACTATTAAACTGGGTGCTGGTGGCTTACACCTGTAATCCTAGCTACTTGGGAGACTGAGATTGGGAGAATAAAGGCTCCAGTACAGCCTGGGCAAATAGTTCATGAGACCCCCCCCCCCATCTCCAAAATAACCAGAGCAAAATGGACTGGAGGTGTGGCTCAAGTGGTAGAGTGCCTGCTTTGCAAGTGTGAAGACCTGAGTTCAAACTCCGGTCCCACCAAAAAAAATTATGAATATTAACATTACTGAAAATAGTGCCATTCTCAAAAGTGGATAGTAATAAGTAGACATTATCTCCAGATTTCACAACTCTTATTATTCCCATCTTCATCCTGTTAGCATTTAAGATGTTCGGCAATAATACTTCAATACTGACTACATATGACATACTTGATTAGTTATTATACTGGGAGATGGACATTTCCTCATTCCTAGTCATGTCTACATAGATGCCTATACTAGCAGTTACATATGAAACGATACAGTGTTTGAAATTTTCTTCATATACGTGGTGGAGAGTAGATGGGAGTGAGGATGGGGCAGGCTGGCCTTGGGTGAACAGCTGCTGAGTTAATGGGTTTATGATATTTCTAATACTCTGCTTTAATGTACAGTGGAATTTCCCCATAAAAAGTTTGTCAAAGGATAAAATTTCAACAAATTCATTTATAGATCTTAATTGGCTGTATTTTCTATTCTAGAATCAGGCAAAACTTTATTCCATAAAAAAGAATAAATGTTCTGATGGCTTGAGAAGAGGATTTTGTTTTATAGACAGAGAAAGGATGACGATAGCAGAAACAAAGAACAAAAAGCAAATCAGTCATTTCAATGTTAATTTCCTTGTAAGGCAGGGACAGAGAGGCAGAGCAACAGGAAAATAATTGATTTGTTAGCATCAGGTTACTTCAGGTTCCTTTTTTGTGTGTGTGTAAGGATTAAGGCAGAGGAAACTTCATTATCATGCCAATTGAAACTGTCCTAATTGGGAAATTGGTTGTTACTCTCCTGATTTTCTGAAGGTCAGATAACAACTTAGTTTGATGACATTGAACTTTAGTATGGGTGATTCCATTTTGATTTTTACTCTGATCTCTTAGGGCCCAGTGCAAGAGCCTAGTCTAAAATAATGGCCTTCTGTAATTTACATTTAACAAGGTTAAGAAAAAAAATACATTGGCTGGAGATAGAGCTCAGTAGTAGATGCTTGCCTGTCATATGCGAGGGTCTGTGTTTGATCCCCAGCATTGTGGGGGAAAAAGTCTTGATTGCAGACATTGTGTTAAAGTGAAACATTTCATACTTAATTAGTAGTAATCAGTAATAAGTGTTTCTGGTTTACTAGCAGTCAGGCACTGTTCAAAACATAATGTGTATTAACCCATTAATCTTCAACTACCCTCTGAGACAGGTACTATTATCCCCTCATTTTGTAGATTAGGAAATTAAGGTAAAGTATTGAGCTAAAATAATTTGCCTAAGTAGTTTGCACATGGTAGTTAGAGGTAGAGCTGGAGTTCAAGTTTGCATGCTGGAGTCTTGCTCCAGAGTCTGTGCACTATGGGATATTGCCCCTTAAAATAAACCCTAAATCAATCCTCCACGCACACCCCTTCCAGTTCCATTTCCATACTCTTAAGAAATCACCAAAAAGGTTCATTCAGCATACATACACAATTTTGTGCCCCCTCTAGTGGTCAGTACCCCCAGACCAACCTTGTGCTTGTCCACCTTTTAGCTGAAGACCAGTTACACCTTATCTGAGAGCCCTCAGGCCTGTGGCCATCCACCTTAAAGAACCCTGTCCATATTCAAGGCCCTTCCATCCTGGAGCAGATTGTCCTTTTGGTCTCCCAGGTGAGGTAGAAACTTTGCTAATGGCTAACGGAGTTAACTTTCTCATTTTTTTTTTTAAATAACTATTGGCTGACTATGGGTAATAAAAGGCTAAACTGGTGTTGTCATTATGAGAGGCAAAAGAAGAAAAGAACAAAATGCCATTTGGGGAATATCCTCAAATTACATTCAGTTTACCAACTGTTTTTCCTACTCTTTGATTTTCTCCTTCCTATTATAGTCATTGGTCAAAAAGTCAACATAGCTGCCAGGATGATGATGTACTACCCTGGAATCGTGACCTGTGACTCTGTCACCTACAATGGCAGCAACCTACCACCCTACTTTTTTAAAGAGCTTCCAAAGAAAGTTATGAAAGGTGTTGGAGATTCTGGACCAATCTATCAGTGTTTGGGCCTTAATGAGAAAGTGTGAGTGTGGGCATTGATTTTGTAGTCTTTTCTAGAAAAGAAGTGGGAGAATAATGATAGTAAAGCAATTGGTCACTCATTTGAGAGTCAAAGCCATTTCATGATACTAAAATCTAATCTTTCCCAGACCCAGGCCCAGACTTCAAAATCCTTCATCTTTCCTCCATCCTACTGCTATTATAGCATGATGAAAGATCCCATTCTTCCCTTAGACCTGAGAATCTGAGGGTGAGTCTTCAAAGGTTGTGCAGGTAGAACAGAGAATTCCCTCATTTAACTATCTATTTATACCCGATGGTATAAAAAGCATTACCCAGCATTAAATCCCTATTGATTATGCCAACTGTGTACCCAGGCATTGACAAGGTTAAAAGAGTATAGGCCTGATGTGGTGACTCACGCCTGTAATCCTAGCTACTTGGGAGGCTGAGATCAGGAGGATTGAGGTTCAAGGCCAGCCTGGGCAAATAGTTTGCAAGACCCTATCTTCAAAATAATGAGGGTAAAATGGACTGGAGGTGTGGCTCAAGCAGCAAGGTGCCTGCTTTGTAAGTACAAAGACCTGAGTTCAAAGCCCAACAACAACAAAAAAAAAGGGCAGGGGATACTGTTCCTTTTCTAGGTCTTTAGTAAAATATATTTCCTAAAAGCCCAGCTTATATGTGTGGATGTCACTTTGGGGCTTAAAATCCTTCAGTGGCTTCTAATCATATTTCATGATATTCAAATTCCTTTTTTAATGATATTCAAATTTCTTGCAATGACATATACCTCCTTTTCTAACTTCATCTTCTGCACCCCCTCTTCTGGGGTGTCTAAGTGAATTATACTCATGGTTCTTCCCCCTCTCCCATATACAGTATACTTTCGAAATTCTGTTCCTCTATTATGTTGGCTCTGACATCCCCATCCCATCTTAGACACTGTAGCTCTTTCCTTCTCTGTGCAACTGCATAGCACAGGCTTGTATTAGACTATTTAGCACACTATATCACTTTTTTTTTTCCAGTACTGGGGTTTGAACTCAGGGCCTACACCTTGAAGCATTCCACCAGCCCTTTTTTGTGAAGGGTTTCCTTGAGATAGATTCTCGTGAACTGTTTGCCTGGGCTGGCTTCGAACTGTGACCCGCCTGATCTCAGCCTCCTGAATAGCTAGGATTACAGGTGTGAGCCACCAGTGCCCAACTATATCACATTTTTTTTTCCTACTAGGGATCAAACCCAGGGTTTCAAACATGCTAAGTACCCTCTCTACCATGGAGTTCCACTTCTGACTCCTATATCACAGCTTTAGACTTAATATGCTTTTCACTTACTAACCTGTGAGTTCTTTGAGGGTACTGATTACTTTCTGTTCACTCTTGTATCTCCATTGCTTAGCACACAGTAGACCCTCAGTAATGCTGAATTAATGAACATATGAACAAATAGCATAAGAAATAGAAAATTGGTACTCTATTGGCAGGTTAGAATCTAGGTCCTAAAGGATCAGATCACAGAATCAGGGCTGCAGTTAGTTCAGAACCTTTCCTATTCACCTATATTCCTGGGGCTTAGCACTCTTCTTGGCATACATAGGTCATTGACTGAGTGAATGGATAATGGTAAATTTTAATGAGCACTTATTAAGTGTTAGGTATTTTACCTTAAATGTACAATTTATTCTTAAAATTGACTGCCTATGACAGCCTCAGCTGAGATAACTAGGGCAGTTTGGCTGACATAACTGGGGCAATTTGGCTCTACGTGTCTCATCCTCCATTGGGCATGTTGTCATGGCAATATCAGAAGAGCAAGAGAGAACTGGACCAATGCACAGCATTTTTCCAGCCTCTTCTTGTGTCTTGTGTTTGCTAACATTTATTGGCCAAAGCATTCACAAGGCTGGCCCAAAGCATGAGAGCGCTGCCAAGCTAGACAGCAAAGCTAGACAGATACAAGTGGGGGTGAAGAAGTGAGGTTATTCATACACTCAATCTACCACACAAACCCAGGACTATCTGATCCACAAGACTGCACTCTTCATGATTTTTCTATACCATTTCTACTGATAAGACTGTAGAAATACACATGCAGACCTGAATAGGTCCTAGTTCCTGATTGGAACATTTACAACATACACAAAATTAGCTATGTGTTACATGGGAGACTTCGATGTGTGCTATAAGACAGTGCTATGGTAGTACAGTGAAGGGAGTAATCCATTCTGACTGGAAGGCTCCTTCAAAAGATAAACTTGCATAGTGGGCAAGTATATGCACTCTGGCCTAGGTTTAAGCACTGTTAGTGTCCCTGTGTCACCGCTAGCCATGAGATTTTGGGCAGGTTAAACTCTCTATACCTCAACTTCCTCATCTGTAAAAGGGACACAATAATAGTACTTCTTAATAATGTTTTTAATCAGAATTAAAGGAAGTGATATATGGAAAGCATGTGGAACTATGCCAGACACATAGCATATACTCAGCAATATTGAGTTGGTATTGAGCCATTATTGAGCAATTGGTGGAATGTCTCCAGGATATAAGACTCTGCACCACATCCAAGTCTATTGGGTCCTGTATTGAGTGTCTATTCTTCCCCCTGAAAGGGCTCTCTTCTACCAATGTACACTAACATGTATTTATTGAACAGTGTATCCGGTGCCATAGTGACAACTGCTGTATATACTGTTTAGATTCTATTACCAAGTTAGACCTTCTCCCCCTCTCTCCTCTTGATATTTGCAACTCTTCTGTCAGGGGATAGACTCACTGGAAATTGATGAGGCTTTCTGGAAACTTAAGAACTAGTCACTTTGCTCTCAATGTTTCCGTTTTGAACCTAACATCTTTTCTTTTTTCTTCTCTTTAGCATGTTTGGTATGGCGTACCTCATATGCAACAGAAATGAGTGTTACCCTTTGCTGGGTAGGTAGCGAGTCTTGATTTAAAACTTTTTTTTTCAGTGCTGGAGATTGAAACCAGGGCCTCATGCATGCTAGATAAGCACTCTATCACTGAGCTACACCCCCAGCCCTGAAATTTCTGTATTGAACTATAGCAAAACACACAGAAAAGTGCATCAGTGATAACTGTGCAGCTTAATGTATTATCACAAAATGAAAATATAATCATCCAGGTCAAGAAATAGAAAAATATCAGTACTCAAGGAACTCCCACATGCTCTCTCTCTCCTGCTTCCTTTTCCCTAAAATCTTCTAACACCCTAGATTACTTAAGCCTGTTTAAAAAATGTATATAAAATGAGGCAATGTGACAAATGCCTGTAGTCCCAGCTCCTGGGGAGTCTGTGGCAAGATAATCATTTGAGCCTTTTATATTTAAGTCTACAAGAGCTGGGAGTATAGCTCAGTGGTAGCGCATGTGCTTAGCATCATGAGATCCAAGGTTCAAACCCTGACACCTCCAAATACACCTACATCTACAGTCTGTCCGGAAAATGATATATTTGTGATTCCTGGTGATAAGGACCCTATCAGTGCTAACTTGAGGCTAGACAGGAAAGTGGATGTATATGAGACAGAGCAATACTGTATGAAAGAAGAGACCCTCACAGAGCTTGGGTCATGAATCCTAAAGGCAGCCATTTTTAGTAGCATGTGTAATTTCCTTTTGTTAGACCGGAACATCCCTGAAATGCTCATCATTAATTAAAGCCTGGTTATAATTGTGTGGGGGAAATTAAGAAGAGATTCTGTCCCACACTTTGGAGGAAATGTTAGGCCAGAATCTTGGGTTCACAAAGTCTGAGGGAACACAACAGTTCCAAAACTGCAAAAAACACTTGAGCCACTTACAGGCAGTTTCCAGAGTCTTCCAGCAAATCACTTCTTGTAAGTCCAGATTCCCAAATTCCTGAAGCTAAAAAGGAGAAAGAATATAGAAAAAAAGCAAAAGAAAACAAGCTTACGATTAGACAGTCTTGGTTTAATTTCCAGTTATGCAATCTTAGCAAATTTCAATTTTCTACATTATAATGAAATGGAATTATAATAAGCATTATTAAGAATACTTTTCCTGGGGGCAAGAGGTATAGTTCAATGTTAGGATGCTTGCCTAGCAATGTGAGAAGACCCTAGATTCCATCCCCAGCCCAAAAGAAAAAAAAAACAGAAAACATAACTTTCCTTCACAGCTCATGGTGATCAAATAAAACTACAAAATCACCTTGTTAATAAAGAAAGTTCTAGAGGAAGATGTACAACATTTGTAAAGTACACAAGGCCTCAAGAAAGTCCAGGAACAATGCTATGGAAATTCTAAGGATATTCTTAGGAAAAGTGTCATTATGTGATTTTTTATATTCCTAAACTATTTTATGTTGATGAGTTTGCTTGCTCCTTTAAAAAAAACAACAACAACAGGACGTGACAAGGAGATCAGATACTTCATGTGCTCTATGAAGAAATTTTTGATGTCTAACTGCAGCCAAGTCCTAATGTATGAGGGAATATCGGGATGTGGAAAAAGCCAGATACTTATGGAAATTGAGTATCTGGCCCAAGGTGAGAGCCACAGGTGAGTGTCTTGAAATTATCCTTCCCTGTGACTGCAGAGAATCCTGACATCTTCACCTCCCCGGCAAGGGTCTGAACTCAGGGCCTCACACTTGCTAGGTGGGCGCTTTACCACTTGAGCCACTCCACCAGCCCTCCTGACAGCTTTTTAAAAGTTTCCATTATGTTGATGTTCTCCTTTATATAACTTGCCTTATGTAAGCTAGCCACAATCTACAATTATTGAGTATCATGACCCTTATGCTAAATAGATAGTGGCATGCTATTATGTACAGGTAAGAGAGTGAGGGTCTGGGCTAGGGTGTGGGGCAGTGGTGGCAGGACTGGAAAGGAGGGGATAGCAAGGTTAAACTATCAAGGCTTACAAACATAGTGGAATAGGGGTGAGGGATGCACCAAAAGCAGAAATAACAGTTTCCAGACAGCTTGGTCAATCTGATATTCCTGCTGAATGCAAGACATCAGAGCTTTCCTCTAACCTTTATTATCTCCAGAAAATATATTTCAAACTCTCTTCTGATTCTTGTTTGTCTCCTAAACAGGACTATTGCTATTGCACTGACTAAGGTCAGCTTCCATCAAAATTTTTACACTATCCAGATATTCATGGCCAATGTACTAGGCCTGGATACTTGTAAACATTACAAAGAACGGCAGAGCAACCTTCAGAATAAAGTCAAGACACTGTTGGATGACAAGTTCCATTGTCTTCTTAATGACATTTTCCATGTCCAGGTAACCAGCTAGCATTAGACTTCTGCAAGGAATGCCACAGGGGTAATCACAGAGACTCCTTCCTGATACCTGCTTAATGGCTTAGCATCCCTTTGCCCTTTACTATGTTCTCTTCTGCTCACTTAGAGCATCCACAGGATGAGGAAATGGCTCCTCCTTGAAAATGTATCCATATTCTTTTTTTCTTCCTTTTTTTTTGTGGTGCTAAGGGTAGAACTTGGGCACTCACACATGCTAAGTATGAACTCTACCACTGAGTTTCATCCCCAACCCCTGCATGCACATTCTTGATACATCCTGGAAGTATCTAGAAATAGATACAAGAAAATCCAAATGGCCACCTTCCAATTCATATTTTTCTCATCCTCCCATCATAGTTATTTTGCCCTATCCTCGCTGGTCTGGAACACGAAGTCACTTTGCTCTCACAGGTGACTACCAAGGCAAAGATAGAATATACCCTATTCTTTTCTGAATCTATTAGATTTGATGACAAAGAAAAGTAGAGCTGGACGGGTCATCATGGGTTATCTAATTTAAGGATTTTAAGGCACAGAACAATTAAGTGTCTTGCACAGAGTCCCACAGTTACTAATTTCCTTTGCTGTTTTTCCACTTCCCATCTTATGATTCTTTGTACAGTTCCCTATTTCACGAGAGATGTCCAAGATGAGCACCTTGAGAAAGCACAAGCATTTGGAAACCCTGTTTATGAAGATCTTAGAGCAAGTAAGAGCACCCATGGGTCACACCATGTGGGGAGGAAACTGGGCAAATGGTCATAAAGCCAGCTCAGACTCCGCTGTCAGAGTCTGTTCAGAATTCAGATGTACATGAAAGGAGTCCCATTTACTCCTGGGACTTTTGCCTCTCCCAGCCCTCTTTTTCTCATTCTGTATATGAGATGCAGTCTATCAAAGTGGTTAAGGGAGCTGGGGATGGGGCTTAGTGGTAGAGTGCTTGCCTAGCATGTACAAGGCCCTGTGTTTGATCCTTAGCATCACAAATGCAAACAAACAGAAACGGTTACTATACAGAATTCCAAGGTTTGAGCCCCCCCCAGGTCTATTACTTGCTACCTAAGCAACATTAAGTCAAGTAACTTAACCTTTCTATGCTTCTGTTTTATCATGTATCAGTGGGGAAACAGTACTACCTACCACATGTGGGCTTAAAGTTTACACCCAGTGCCCCTTTCTTAGGAGACACTCCACAAATGTGATCTCTCTCTCCCCTCCCTCCCTTCCCTTCTTCTTCTTCTTCTTTCTTTTCTTTTTTTTTTTTTTGATTGTCATTACACAAAGGTTTGCTAAAGTAAAAGTCCATTCCTGCCAGTTGTCCAAATCTCTATGAATTCTAAGTGAGTGGAATCCAAATTAATACAAAGTTATTGGCAAGAAAAAGATTTAACTTAGCTGGTTCTTTCTCTTCATCATAAGCAAACCACAAAACACAACAGATATATATGCCTACCCATACACAAGTGCACATCCTGAAGTCTTATACCATTTTTCACTTTGTCTACTTTTTCCAGACAGTGAGAGAAGAAAGGATTATTTTCATCATTGATGAGGCCCAGTTTGTGGATTCGGCCTCCTGGGCCTTTATGGAGAAACTCATCCACACTGTTCCCATCTTCATTATCATGGCCTTGTCTCCCTTTGAGAATCCCTGTTCAGCTGCTGATGCCCTCATGAAGAACAGAAACACCACCTATGTCACCCTTGGTGCAATGCAGCCGAAGGACATCCGCAACAAGGTCTGTCTCGATCTCAATGTGAGCAGCATCTCTAAAGAGCTGGACTCGTAAGTAACCTGCTTCTAACCTGAGGTCCTGACATCTGCATTCATTCCTGGGGTCTAGACTTCATCAGTTCCCTTAGGAGGTGCCTAATCAAAATTATTACCTACATGATAAGAAAGAAAAGCAAGACCTTATTATACAGTTTTAACTTAGGACAGATATAAGTTCTTTATGTAATTTAAAAAGTGAAATAAGGTGGGGATGTAACTTGCCTAGCATGCACAAGGTCTGCAAATGCAAAACTGCAAATAACGAGTAAATATATAATAAACAAGTGAATTAAAAAGGGAAAAAAGTAATCCCCAACACTTGAAAAAAACTGAAACAAATGAAGATGAGAAGAGATTATTTTCAAATGATTGAGAAGACTCAATTTCCCTCCTAAAAGATGGTTCTTCCATGTAAACAGGTTGCCTTGTTTTTACTACAGGTACCTGGTAGAGGGAAGCTGTGGGATTCCATATTACTGTGAAGAATTGCTAAAGAATCTTGACCATCACAGGGTTCTCCTTTTCCAACAAATGGAATCTGAGGATAAGACAAATGTGACCTGGAGTAACATGTTCAGTAAGTCTCTCAGTGATGCATTTTCTTGCTCTGTTTTTCCATCATTGGTTGGTGTGCAGAGAAGGTGGCAAGGATGCAGACTGTTCCACAGGCTGCTTCTGTATGGTCAAAGGGTTTGGGAGAGGCAAGAAATAATGCATTTGATATCCCAGATTGTAAGAAGAGTTAACATAGCTTGGCACTCCCTGGATTGCACTAAAGAATGTATAAATGTGATAATTATGAAAGAACAATGAAAAATCTTAAGGCCCAGAATCAGAACTGAAGGATGATTTGAATGTTACCTAGGGGGGAAAAAAGATTCCATATCTACTAGAGGTAAAATTGCTACCTCAAAGTAAATTGTCAACAAGGTTCCCTAACTACAGAGACATACAGTGGGATAAAATGTAAGGTGATAGCATGGAGGCCAGTTGGAATTTTTAGGAAAATAACTTTATTTCCGGGAGGAGAATGGGGTAGATAGGCAAGTTGGAAAGTAGAGGATTAAGGATAAAGAGAGCAGGTTTTTATTGGGGTTTTTTTTGATTGATTGTTTGGTGTTTCTCTGTTGTCCAACCAAGGGATACATGAGACAAAAAGAAAAAAAACAGAGAACTCCCTGTCACTTTGTTCCTTGCATCCCAAGGTCCCTTGCTGGTCTCCCTTCTCTCCACCTTGAGTGTCTTATGCATATTCGTTTTATAAATGATGTACTTAGAGGAGGAGTAGGGAAGGAAACCTGACTTCTCCATTTTCCCAGAAGTGGAAGTCTTTTCATTTTTTGTGACTCACCATAAGTAACGATGATTTAATAGCCAAAAGCACTATGCACACTAGTATCACCACATCTGCAGAATCAAAACTTCCTCTGAGACTAAATAAAGGGTAAGGAGGGATATGAAAATTCGGTGCCATGTTGAGGTGAATGTGGTGTAACAAAGGTGCTTATGGTGCTGTTGGGCAGAAAATTGTCATTTAAAGGTAACAATGAGGGAAAACTTGCAGAAGTGTCTTTTTGTTTCCTGAGAATGGCTCTGTTTACTTGGTGAACAAATGAAGCCCAGATTGCCATGAACTGTGTTGCAGTTTGTGGCTCCATCTGTTGCCTCTCACCCAACATCTGAAGGAGAAATGAGACATGTTGGTCAGAGAAGAGCAAGGTCAAAGTTAAGGATTTTCTTTGTAAGGAACGAGAGACATAAGCTTTCTTTTAAAGGGAAGATCAATTGTGGTTTTTTGTTTTTGTTTTTGTTTTCTTTCTGGATAATCATGACAAAACAAAATAGTTAGAAAAGGCTTTCCCTACCAGGGTGTAATTCTAGCAACAGGGAAGCAGAGGCAGGAGGACTGAGAGTTCAAGACCAGCCTAACCTACATAGCAAGACCCTGAACTTGAATAAAGAACACAGCGTTTATCACTCCTTTATTTCTTTTACACAACTGGATCAGATTATGAGATTACCCTATTAATTAATTTACTGTTTATATCTGTCTCCCATTCTTAGAATGTGAGCTCCATGAGGTAGGAGTCTCCTGCATACTCCTGAATTTCCAATCCTAGAACGATGCTGATACCCAGACACAGTCAGTTAGGATTGACTGAATGATTAAAAGAGTGGTCAACAAAGTGACTGGAGTGGGAAATATAGAAGCACAAAAGAGCCTGGGCCAAGTTATGCCTTTGATTCCCACCCTCCTACCCCCAACACACACACACCTCTTTTTGGTATGCTACCCTCTCTTGGCTTCTCTGATCCCATATTCTCACTGTTCCCCTCCCTTTTCTCACCAGTTCTCACTTGCTCCTTGCTTCTCTTCCTTCTCCCTTTTTTTGTGGTCCTGGGGTTTGAACTCAGGACCTCACCTCACACTTGCTAGGCAGCACACTACTGCTTGCACTTGAACCATTCTGCCAGCCCTTTTTTTGTGTTGGGTATTTTTGAGATAGGATCCCATGAACTCTTTGCCTGGGGCTGGCTTTGAACCCCAGTCGTCCTGATCCTCCTGATCTCTGCCTCCTCGGTAGCTAGGACTATAGGCGTGAGCCACCAGCGCCTCTCCCTAGGTCTCATCTTTCTATGGAGGAATTCAAGTTCCATCCTTAACTCTGCTAGCTCAGACTCTCTCCCCAGGTGTTTTCACTTATTCATCTTTTCCCTGGCCTTCACGTGTGAGTGAATGAGTGAGTGAGTGAGTGATCGATAATGCTAATCATACCTCTAATTCCAGACCTATATTTCCAACTTTCCCTTGGACTATCCCATAGGCCCCCTCAAACTTAAAACTTGTAAAACTTAAGGCACTGTCCTTTCTCCCAAATCACACCTTTTCCTGTATTTCCCAGCTCTGTTAAGATATCATTCATGTCTTATGTCCATCTCTAGCTCACTTAGGTCATATTTCCTCAATACCTACAGTACTTGCTTTCCCTTCACTGTTCTGGTTACCCATTCCTTGATATTCGATTGGTGTAACTTCTTGCATGGACTTCCCTCTGCTATTCTCTGGACTCTCCTGTATGCTGCTTCCAGTGTCACTTTCTGAGTTCATTTTCTGTAACTGTAACTGAATACCACAGACAGAAAATTATAAAGAACGAATGCTTATTCAGCTCTTGGTTCTGGAGACCAGGAGGTTCAAGATTGAGGGGCCACATCTGGTAAGGTCCTTTGCTGATGGGGGGTTTTCTGTAGAGTTCCAAGTTGGAACATGGCATCACATGGCACGACAGAGCATGCTTACTAAATTAAATACCTCTTCCTCTTCTTATAAAGCCTTTCATGAAGTTATTAATGGCCCCTTCTCATGATCTCATCTAACCTTGATTACTTCCCAAAGGTCCCATCTCCAAATATCATTAACACATCATTTTAGGGATTAATTTCCAAATGAGTTTTGGAAAGATAAACCAACACCCAAACCATAGCAGTTACCCTCTAAGAATACTGGTTGGATTGCTTCTGTTGCATCTTCAGAAACCTGTTGTCTATGGAATAAAGCCCAGTCTTCATAGTGTGATGTTAAATGCCGTCCATACTCTGTTCCCAAAGTAGCCCTCCACATCCATCTCCACCAGGAGCTCCAGCACCCCATACGCTATACTTTAGTTACTCTGGCCAGTCTCATTTCTCTGACTTGCACTTACTCTGAGGCCTCTGGGGCTTTGCATTGACCTGTACTGCACTTTCCACTTGGAATATCCCTTCATCCTTCAAGGAGCAATCAAATACTTCCTCCTCCATGAGACTTCTGAATCCTCTAAATTTGAATTGTTCTCTGTTCCCTCTTTGCTCTTTAGCTCATAGCAGTTCTTCCTGGTATTATGATTAATTCTTTGTATATCTGTCCCAACAGCTTTTATGCATCTTGAGGGCTGGAAGTATGGGCTATTCATATTTGTAGACTTCACAGGATATGATTCACAAAGTCCTTAATAAATAACGTATTGTATTGATATGCACTGTCTGGCACTGTTTGTGCCTACTAACCCAGCATTTATTTACTGCCTGGAAGTCGCACTTTTTGAGTGCATGATTTATCTCTCTAGGAGATGAGGAAGTTGGCTATTCACCTTCATATTTCTATGTTACCCACAACAGTGTCTTGAAACTATCAAGTATGATATGAATAAGTGAAGGGATAAGTAAATAATGCATTTTGGAGTATGAGGAGACAAAATTACTAAGCAAGTAATTTTACCTCATTATTTTAAATATCTCTCTCTGCTAGTAGTCATGTCCTAATTAGAGTCAGTCTACCACAGAATGTGTTTGTATCTGAGCAAGGGCATATGAATTTGCATGCAAGTTTATATTACTATGTGTTATAAGATATAGCCTAAGTTGACTGTGAATCCAGTTTCTGTAAAACTTTATGTACTATGGAAAACACCAAGAGTTAATATAAATTCTGGTTTGGGGATAGGGTAGATGGATGGGTGGGTAGGGAGAAAAAATGTTTTTGAATGAATCTGGATGTTCATTTAGCAGTTTTACTTAAAACAAAGTATTCCAGAATATTTTAGGGGACTGACACACATCTGCCCACTCTTTCTTGCATGAGTTCCATCTAACAGTTTCCTGGAAAATAAGACTTTTGAAGACAGGATAACAACTCTCAACTTTTCTTCCATCTTATCTCCCCATAGAGAATCTCATTAAACCAACAGAGGAAATAAGTATGTTTACTATCACTAAAGAAGAGGGAAGTCAGGTCTGTAATCTTGCAAGTGGTGTTAGACTGAAAAATTTGTCACCCCCATCATCATTAAAAGGTGAAGAAAATTTAACTTGTATTCATTTTCTAGTAGGTTCTACTTTTGCCTTTTCTATGATGACTTTCTAAAGAAGGAGAAAGATAGAAACATGGGTTCTTTGTCTATTTGGTTTGTGTTGCTTCAGTTGGTGGGAAGGCTCCAGGGTAGGCTTAGTGTTTCTGCTGCTACTTAGAAGCCTCTTTCTGCCTGTACATATCCTGTGTTGTAATTTGAACAAATGTTTATTCAACTGTATAAAAGAATGAGGTATAGCATATTTTCAGTTAAGCCAAAATCAAATCATGAGGAAAGAAAATCTCATACTTTCACCATCTACTTTTATGAGAAAGAAATGACAAACAAGGGAGTTTATGTCAGAGATGTATTATTATACTTGGGAAGCTATTGTCTAGTATGCATTCAACCCAATGCCATCCTAAGTAACTGAATTTGTAGAAGGATGGCCTTGGGACACCTAAAGTCTCTCGAGTCTTCAAGCAAATGTCATATGTGACATTTCACTCACTGTGTCTCCAGAAGTAAGGAGGTAGAGTAGCTTAGCTTCTATTATGGACAAGTTGAGAAATTTGAATTTGTCTCTAAAGGAAGGATATCTTTTTTTTCTTTCTTTCTTTTATCATTTTTACATTTGCTTACATGTGTATACATTGTTTGTGCCACCTCCCCACTCTCCCAGGAAGGATATCTTGATCAACACATCCAGGAAGATGCTGGGAATGTACATGGTGGAGTACTTGCCTACCATGTTCAAGATACTGGGTTTGATCCTGAGCACTACAAAAACAAAAATCCAGGAAGCCATGTAAACTATGATACTCAAGCTTCCATGAAAAATTGGGATTAGAGCTATGAACTCTCTGACATTTGTTCATGACATAGTGATGTTGATGTATGTCATGAGAATAAATGAATCTCTGGGGCAGATAAAGAGAAAACTTAATTGCTGAGGGATTCCAGAAAAAAGGAGAGCCATTGAAGAAAACAGAGGAGACCAGCCAGAAAAGTCTAAAAAGAACAGGAATGGCAGGCCTGACGTCTATAGCCATGACCTCTCATCACACACTAACACAAAATCAGAACACTGGAAAATCAGTCTTATTCTTGTCATGTGTACTTTTAGGTCATAACATTTGCATCTTTCTTGTCATGTGTTTTTTTAGACCATAGTATCTGCATCTTTTGTACTCCCAGCACAAGTGCTATCTATGAATTAGATACTATCAAATAGTTCTTTTGACTTAGCTTAGCTAGATTTCTGCATATAATAACTATAGAGCAGGACAGTTACTTAACTGCAGAATACATCTGATACAGACAGATAACTAGTTTCCTGTTGTGTGGCTTTCCACCTGCAGAAATCTCTCTGGTCCAGCTGGATAGCATGAGCCTTTCCCACCAAATGTTGGTGAGATGTGCAGCCATCATTGGTCTGACCTTCACAACAGAGTTGTTGTTTGAGATTCTCCCTTGTTGGAATATGAAGATGATGATAAAGGCCCTGGCTACCCTAGTGAAAGCAAATGTTTTTTATTGTTTCCGGAATAGCAAGGAACTTCGATTGGCCCTGAAACAGAATGTGGCCTCATTTGAGGTGCATTATCGCTCCTTGTCACTGAAGTCCAGTGAAGGGTTGGGTGAGTAGTTCCTGGAAATAATCTCTATTTCTGCTAGATTAAAGTCACATCTAGATTAAATGGTTGGTCCATATTAGGTAGTGGGTGCTGACTTGTTGCCCACTGCCAAGCTGAAAAGCCCCTCTTACTCCCTCTAGCTTGTGGTAAAGAGGAAGAGCTCCATGAAATGGAAGGCGAGGTGATTGAGTGCCACATCATCCGGTTCTGTAGGCCTATGATGCAAAAAACAGCCTATGAGCTGTGGCTTAAGGATCAGAAGACAGAAATGCATTTGAAATGTGCCCGTTTTTTAGAAGAAAATGCTCACCGATGTGACCACTGCAGAAGCAGGGACTTCATTCCCTATCACCATTTCACAATGGACATCCGGCTCAACACTTTGGACATGGATACCGTCAAGAAGATGACTAAGTGCCACAAATTGCAAAGTAAACTTACTTCATTCCTCGTGAATCCTAACTACTTCTGGGAAGTCTGGAGCCTAAGATCTAGAAGGCGTGGGTCTGGACCTTGGGGCTTCAAATCCCCGGAGGGCATGGGCACAAAGAATGATGAGATTTCAGCAACATAGGCCCACAGGAAGGGAATGTACATGTAGCTGAGTTTAGCAGAACCAATCTCACCGTGAGACTGTTGGGGAGGGTTTGGGGATAAGGGGCTCTGGCAAAATAGGGTGTGAGCTTAAATTAAAATGGCTCACCTAGAGCTGACTGTGTGGCTCAAGTGGTAGAACACCTGCCTAGCAATCGTGAGATCCTAAGTTCAAATCCCATAATGCCAAAAAAAAAAAAAAGTGCCGCTTAATTCATAGCAAGGGATGGAATCTGAGGTGGGGGGGGACGATGTCTAACTTGAAGAAATGAGAGCAAAGTTGTTGCTTTTTTGGTCTAGTTTGAAACAGGTTCCAGTGGGAAAAGAACATGAGTGGGAGAAAATTAACCAGGACACCAGAAAAGAGTACCTGGTTTTGAGGCAGGGATTCATGACCATCTGAGAAGCAAAAGTAAAAAAAAAAAAAAAAAATTTATAAACCATTCACCATTCACACAAACAAGCCATGTGGTCTGGGAAAGCATAGCGAGGATTCAAGGTGTGTTAGAACTCAAGGACCCAGTTGCTGCAGGTATGATGGGTGTCAGATTTAGAGCAACACCAATCCTAGCCTCATTCATAGTGGGCAGGAAGTGGCTAATGAGCTGTCTGCCCTAGTCAGATGACCTAGGTGATTATGGCTAAATCTTGTGGGGAAAATAGAGGGCATCTAAATTATAAGGATACTAAAAATTGAGTAAACATGTATATAAAATGCTTAGCACATAGTAGGTACAAGGTATTTACTCTCTAGTTCGCATGCATTCTCATTGGATCTACCTTCAACGTGGGGTGTTACTTACATTTTTAGATAACAAAAGTAAGGTTCCAGAAGGTTAAGTAATGTAATACCAAAGAATGAGCAACAGAGTTTATTCACTGTCCTGTCAATCTAATTTTTGCACCATGTTTTGCCCATTACATTTGAACTTCTCAAAGTACAGGGTTGGACTGTTGGGTAGTATTATACTAGGAGACTGGAAGAGGTTCCACAGCAGTAGATTTTTTTTTTTTTAATTGGTGCCGGATCGATCCTAGGTCCTCACACAGGCTACAATTGCTATACCATTGAGCTAGATCTCAGCCTTAGCATTAGGTATTAATCAGAGAGTGAAGCAGGTGATTCTTTTCAATTACCTTTTTTTGAGACAGTGTCCCACTTTGCAGCTCAGACAGGCTTTGAACTTACTATGTAGCCCAGGTTGGCCTCAAACTCTCCATCCTCCCACCTCCACCTCTGGAGTGCCAGAATTATAGATAGGCACCACCATGCCTAGCTTCAATTATTTTTCAATATTTTTTTTTTTTAGTGGTACTGGGGTTTGAACTCAGCTCAGGGCCTACACACTTGCTAAGCATGTGCTCTTACCACCTGAGCCACTCCACCAGCCGTTTTTTGTGATGGGTTTTTCTTCAAGATAGGGTCTCCCAAATTATTTGCCTGGGGCTGGTTTCCAATCTCAGTCCTCCTAATCTCTGCCTTCTGAGTAGCTAGGACTACAGGCATGGGCCACCAGTGCCCAGCTGTCTTTCATTTCTTGATCAAGTTCCTTTAACAAGCAGGGAGTAGCAGTTTTGCACTGCATTTTAGGCATGGAATTGATACCACACTAACAATTGCCCATCTCCCTTTTTCTTGAGATAGGTCTTGCTGGGTATCCCCGTCTGGTCTGGATCTTGCTTTGCAGCCTAGGCTGTCCTCAAACTTGAACTCCTCCTGCCTCAGTCTCCCAAGTGCCGGTATTATAGACATCTGCCACCATGCCTGGCTCTCTATCATCCCTTTTCAAAAAAGAGAATAAAATCAGAATTAGGGTCAAGACCACAAGGGTTTCAAGTCCCCGGAGGCATAGAGAAGATGAGACTTCAAGCAGTAGTCTCATCCCTGGGGCAGGGAAGCTGTCAGGGAGTATACATGTCCCTGAATCTAGTGCTTATTACTACTATTTATTACATTCCTCCTCATGGATTGTATTTTTCCAAAACTGGAAATACTTTGTTATTATTGTTATAAAAGTAGCATGTATGTAGCATAATGTTGACAGTGAAATTTGTACCAGGGCACCAAAATGTAATGAATGCTGAAATATCAGTGAGGTAATTGCAAAGGAAATGGCTGAGAATCAATTATAGTCTTGGATCCTTCATCCATATTCAAGATGTAGGAATAAGGAAGAAAGTGGAGAGGGCCAGAATTTGTGAAGAGAAGTACCCGTCACCTATTGGTTGTTTCTCTCAATCACCTGAAGCCTAGTAAGGTGTCTTCCTTGGGATCAGTTAAGGGACATAGAAGATGGGCCTACCTCATATCTAGGAAGGCAAAGTGGGCTGTGGGTACACTGGGATCTAGCTGCCCTCCTAGAGTTTGCGACGGATATGCAAGAGTTTCCCATGGATCGGATATAACCCAACTGGGAGAAAAGACAAGTCTGGAGCCATTTTATGTTCTTCCCAAGAGTAGCCTTGTGAATATAAGAAGACCCCATTAGAAGACTTCTAGGAAAAAACAAAACAAGGATGCTAGGGCATAGTCAGTGGAGAACTGAAGAGGATGCATTGCCTGAAAGGAAGTATCAGTGAAGGATCCCAGGACAGGCCTATATTGAAAAAATTAATGAAGGCATCAATGAAAGAGATGAGGGAAAGGGGAAAGAAGAATATTCCAGACTGTGTGGGACCAGTGAGTGTCTGTCTGTCTGTCTCTCTTTCTCTCTCTCCCTCCATCCTTCCTCCTTCACACACACACACACACGCACACACACCCACACACTTTGTAGACTGACATTTTATTTTGGAAGATAAAATTAGCTAACATATGCTGGCAGCTAGTGGATAGGTCAGTCTGAGCAGTTGCCCTCAAACATGCTGGCTAGGACCACCAAAGAAAATTCCTTCAGTTACTTGTGGAGAAAGCCTTGGGTGCTAGCATTGGAACACACATGACCAGAGGTTCCTGGGTGATGACTGTGTTCTTTCATCATCACTTCCACCCGAGTGAGGCCAGGGCTCATGACTATCCTTATTAGAATTTTTCACCTGTTCAAAAAGGTATCAACTAGGCAAACTTTTTAAAAAATTCCTAAAAGTTTTATGCAATGTCCTTGAATCTCCAATATGTAGAATATGACCTTTAAGTAACACTGGTCAAGGACATAATTGGAAGAAGCCAAGGATGCTTGAATTAGATATGAATCAGAGATGGAGGTAGATGATTCCTTTTTCAATTCTCTTCCTTTTCTTAAATACTCATTTTCTGAGTCTTAATCCATTCCAAAGATCTACAGCCCATGAGCTCCCTCCTGGGTTTTCTTCCTCAGTCATCTACTGCATCAGGAACCAATTTTCTCCCTCTTTCAGCTTCCAGAAATGTGTTGAAATCTTATTCAACATTTCATTTACTTATTCAACAGATAGTTTTTGAGCTCTTATTATTTGCCAGGCACTAATCATGGCTATACGCACTTGTGATACATTAGTGAACAAAGCAGCATTCTATAGTGGAAAAGTAGACAATGGAGGAAAAAAAATAAAGAAGTAAACTGTGTAGCATTCACTAAGTAATAAATCTCATGGAGAAAAATAGAAAAGAATGTTAGGTGGGCCAGGGGATGGGTAGCACTCATTAAGAAGATTTATGTAATACAGAGGAAATAGGGATTTTGTTGCATGAGTGGCTGGGGAAGAGAGAATGGCCAACACAGTGGCCCTAAGACAGGCATATGACCCCTTCCATGCTAAACATCGGGGTTTATGCTTCTTAAAATTATTCTATTATGGGGGAAAATGTCCTGGAGCTGGGGCTGGGGATGCAGCTCAATGATACAATGCATATTTAGCATGTATAAGGCCTTGTGTTCAATCTGAGCAGCACCAAAGGAAAAAAACGTCCTGGACCTGGAGAGACAGGACGTATAAAAATAAGTGGTCAGCCTGATGCCTTGAACCTATGTCTTAGTTCAAGGTCTTTGAAACTACCAGGTGAGCAGGTGGTATCTTTGCTTTTTTCCTTTCTTCTGAGAACTTCCCAGCATTTTGTCTTTTTTTTCTTTTGATTTTTACAGCTTTTCCGTGTAGTAGGAAACAATATAATATCTCGTTTATAAATGAAGAAAACTGACAACTAAAAACAATGATTTCTTCAATAATAAAGAACATGTCTTGCATACCCTAACTTTATTTATTTCATCTAGCCAATATTGCTGCTTTTCTCTGCATCTCATTCTCTCTCTCTCTCTTTTTCTCTCTCTCTCTCTCTCTTACACACACACACACACACACACACACACACACACACAATATATTGCAGTAGTAGAGATTGAACTCAGATCTTGCTCATACTTAGGCAGGCACTGTATCACTGAGATACACCCCAGCCCCTACTATTAGAATTTTAAACATCATATATATAGACATATTATGTATGATTATGTAATATATGTATATATGAGATGTTGAAGGAAAAATAGCATTTTATTTTCACTTACTGATTTTTTTCAGCAAACAGCAAATATTTACTATGTGCCAGGTAATCAAGATCATGGGGCTATAGTCTACTTTCATAAATTTGACTTTTAATGGAGGCCAACAAATAAAAGATTAATAGACCATTATGGGCCTTATAGGTCTTAATAAATAAGTCTGAATTTCATTCTAAGTGAATTGGAACACATTGGAGCGGTATTGATAAGAATTATTATTGGCAGAATATAAACAGAATCTGATATTTTCTCTTACATTCCATTGACCAGATCTTAGTCACATGACTGTGCTCATTTTCAAGGAATTCTGGAAAATATATCTGCCTTGAGTAAAACTGAGTTCTATTAGTAAGGAAACAAGAAATAATAGCAATTGAGATTAGAAAGCAACAGTTTCTGCCACAGAGATCTGAATCATGTTTCAGATTTCAGAATCTGAGCCACACATGTAGCATATATAATTCCAGCACTCAGGGGGCTGAAGCAGGAGGATCATGGGTTTGAGTTCAGCCTGGGCTACACAGTGAGATCCTGTCTCAAAAAAACTAAAACTAACCGATCAACATAAAAAGCCTTACTCTTGTCTATGGAAATAGATTGGACGGAATAGGGATAGAGGGCGATCTGGACACACTGTTAGTTTTTGGTTTTTTGGTGGTATTAGGTTTGAACTCAGGGCCTCATGCTTGCTAGGCAGGTGCTCTACCACTTGAGCCACTCCACCAGCCCTTAGAAGGAAGATTTATTTTTTGCAGTTATCCAAATAAAATTCTGGTAATGTACCAGCACAGTGCTATAGAGAAGATGGACAAAAGAAGATGGATTCAGGTAGGTTCTTGGGTAGAGTCCATGGGACTTTTTGAGGAATTTAATGGGAATGGGGTAAGGGAAAGAAAAGAATCAAGCATATTACCTTGGTTTTTGCCTTGAGAAAATGAATACATGGCGTGATGTTTCTTAAGATAGGAAAGATGCATGCGGGTTTGGGTTATGGAGGAGAATTCAAGAGTTCTGTTTGAAATCCCATCATCTTATAATGCCTATTATACACCCAGTGGCTATTGTTGAGGAGATATTTGGATACATGGCTATGTAGTTAAAGTAGATGTCAGGGCTTAGAGATATAAAATTGAATGTCATTAGAACTTGGATGGAATTTAAAGTCATGGGCAGTTGAAATTACCTCGGGAGAAACTGTGAATGGAGAAGAAAGCTCAGCACCACTCTGAGGCTCAGCAACACTTAGAATACTCGTAGAGGACTAGGAACCAGCTAAGTGGACAGTCAAGGAGGAAGGGTAACAAGGAAATATGTGTTATAAATCCAATGACAGACTGGAGGTGTGGCTCAAGCAGCAGAGTGCCTTCCTAGTAAGCGCAAAGCCCTGAGTTCGAACCCCAGTACGACTAAAGAAAAAAGCCAGTGAAAAGAGAATGGTCAGTTGTATTATATGCTCATCAGTATTATATGTGGATAAAGACATAATTTTTACATTTGGCAACATAGTGGCTACTAGTAACCTTGACAAGCCCAGTTTTAGAGTAGTAGGGGATGGAGGCACAATTCAAAATATTCAGCTTCTAGTCATTAAGGATATAATAACAGTAGTTTAGAAGAGGTAGACAATTGATTCTTACCCATTGTGATAAAGAACTATAACAGAGGTCTGTATGAAGGTTGGTGGGCACACGTGAGTAAGGACATTTATTCTGTGGGGTCAAGGGCACAGAATGCTCAAACTGTATTTCATAAATTAAAAGATCTCACCAAAGTGGTGGTACATGCCTGCAATCCCAGCACTTGAGAGGCTGAGGCAGAAGGATCATGAGTTCAGGGCCAGCCTGGGCTATATAGTTAGACCCTGCTTCAAAAAACAGAAAAAAAGAAACCAGACAAAACAACAGCAGCCAAAAAAAAAACCCTCTATGGAGTAAATCCATTAGCCATTAGCCTTGGAGCCAAATAGCCTAGGCTATAGATGCACCTCTGACACTAACAAATGTATGATCTGAGACAAGTTGCTTTCCCTCCTAGGAGTCTTCTCCCCAAATGCAAAAATGTCTGGATTAGACAATTCTCATTTTTTTTATTTTTAAATTTTATTTATTTATGGGTTGGTTTGTTTAGTCCAGGGACTCCCTCTTGTTTGGCAAGTACTGTACAACTTGAGCCATACCCTCAGCCTCATTTGTGTCCTGTTTTAAGATCATTATAGAATTTTCTAACCTACCTGGTTTTAGACTAAAGTTTTTTAAATTCAAGATTCTCTACTTTCAGGTTAGCCTTCTGAGGTATTGCATTTATATATCTATAGTTCTTCACTAGAAACTGATGACACTTTCTCCAGGACTATTGAATGGTATTTTAGTTATTATAGGCAACTGAGTTAGGATAATGTCATCAGCTATAACACCCCCCAACATTTCAGTGTTTGGACACTGCTAATCCAGTGAAGGTTTTGACAAATGCCTGAAGGCAGTCAGGAACTAAAAACTCCTTCCATTTGTGGTTTTGCTATCCCTTAGGTCCTGAGAAGATAGAGCAGACAATAACCATTTCAGCCCAGAGGTGACATCTATCATTTCTGATTCTACCATGAGAACTATCATATAGGTTCACCTAAGGTGCAGTGGGGATGGACAGCAACAACCCTGTAAGATGTCTTTGGGGTGGACGCCAGACATCTCACAGGGAATATTTTAGTAATCCATTTAACTCATTTATTTATTTTTAGATGAAGAAGATACCATCTTTTCTAAATCAGAGATGCCTAAGAAATCTGAATTATTTTCTGAAAGTCTCAGGTATGGGCATATTTAATCATATAAGAGTTGGAGCATAAACAATTGTCATGAAATTCACAGTTAGAATCATTCATCTGGTCAGTGGTCTGGGGCCTCTTATGTACAGTGGGAAAATATCGGGGTGAGCATGGTGAGTTTGGTCAGTGTATCTACATCAGGCTTTATTATCTTGTTCTTATTAGTTTTTAAAGATATTTTATGTCAAAATCTATACTATATCTACTATTTATTGATCTTCTCTTTATTTCTGCATTTGAACAGTCCTCAAGAAATAAGGGAAAAGATCTTAGGGTTCTTTGACATCATTATAGCCAAATTAAGAACATCTCAGGAAGACATTACCCCGCTGGAGTCCTGCCAGTGTGAGGAGATCCTGGAGATGGTCGTCTTGCCTCTGGCCCAACATTTTCTGGCTTTGGGAGAAAAAAACAAAGCCTTGTATTACTTCTTAGAAATTGCCTCTGCTTATGTCATTCTGCATGATAACTACATGGTAAGCTGTTTCTACCAAGACCTCTTCCACTCTAGAGACAATTTAGAGACAGCACAACCAAAAAGGAAACTGCAGTGTGCTTTTTATTACTTCCTGTTGGTTCCCGCCAGCACCCCTTTCCTTTGAAAAGCACATTGCTCAGATAAGAAATGATCTAAGATTGATAAAGGTGAATTGAAACAAATTGCAGCTAGCATCATATATCATTTTAAAAACTGCCACCACCCAGGGAATACCTGTAATCCCAGCATTCAAGAAGTTGAGGAAGGGTGATCAAAATTTTAAGACCAGCCTGGGCTATGCAGCAATACTCCTACCTCAACAAACAAACAAACTGCCATTTTTAGTCTTGCCATGAATTGTCTACCTGTATGGGAGATTAAAGGATGTTATTCCCCAAATGATGTAACAGGTGTCTTGGTGTAAATGCTTCAGTTTCAGCATATTCTTCCTCAGTACCATCCTATTGTCTTTTTTTTTTTTTTAAGTAGGTCTTGGGGTTGAACTCAGGGCTTCGCACTTGCAAAGTAGGCTCTTTACCACTTGAGCCACACCTCCAGACCCACCCTAGTGTCTTTTGCCCTGTTGTCCCAAAATACTTTCGAGCACAAAAGACTTTTGTCTTCATGCAATTTTTCTAAATTATCACATCATATACTTTTAGAACACCAAAGTGCTAGTGAATGTGTCTTCAGGATCGTTGTAAATAATTTTTCAGGGCAATATGCCCCCAGAAACAAGGAGATTTGATACATATAATGGAATAAAAAGAATTCACTGCTAAGTAATTTAGGAGGCACTGAGCTGAGTATAGTGATGTAAGTTTCTTTACTACAGATATTGCAGGGCCTTATTTATTTATTTATTGGTGGTACAAGGATTTGAACTTAGGACTTCCTGCTCTACACTTAAGCCATGCCTCCAGCCCTTTTGCTCTGGTTATTTTGGAGATAGGGTCTCACTTTTTGCCCAGGCCTATCTGGACTGTGATCCTCCTTCCCACTGAAGCTGGAATAACAAGTGTTATTATTACACCAGCTTTTTTCTGTTGAGATGGAGTCTTGCAAACTTTTTTGTCTGGGCTGGCCTGGAAGCACTATCCTCCTGGTATTAGTCTACAAAATAGTTGGAATGACAGGCACATGCCACAGCCCCCAACTCTGTTTGAGATGGGGTCTCAAACTTTGTGTGCCTGGCTGGCCCTGAACAGCGATCCTCCAGATCTCAGCCTCTCAAGTAGCTAGAATTACAGGCGTGAGCCACCAGCACCTGGCTCCAGAGTCTTTAGCACGATAAGACACGTAGTCACCTACAGGACAGAGAAAGGTAAAACTAGGGTTGAGATATACTTATTTCATTTTAAATCACTTTTCACGGAGTAGCTGATTAAGTTACTCTCCATGAGCTCACTGGAGGAAGTGTCTGTCTGGGCCTCACTTCCTCTTGAGTCCAGCCAGTTTTAGGAAGTTTCACCCGCTTGAGTCGTCATGTCTGCAATCCTTCATGTCCACACACTCAGTCTGTTTTCTTGTTATAGTTGCTGTTGATCACAGCAGCCTAATTAACATTCATACCTTAGATTTACATAGAATTTAAGTTGGGAATTGAAATCTACATATTTCATTCATGTGTTGGGTGGTTAGGGGATGGCCGGTCTCCAAGAAAGAGAGTTAGGCACACTTGGGGCTAGTTTTTTTCTTTTTTTTCCAAGTGCTGAGGATCAAACCCGGGCCTCTCACATGTTTGGCAAGTGCTCTACCAAAGAGCACTACTCCCAGCTATGGGCCAACCTTCTAAAACCTGGGTATACCCCCTGTCGTTCCCTAAGGAGTGATACATAATTAGAAAGGCAGTTGGAGGCAGAGGCCCAGCAGACATTCTCATAGCGTGCCATTTGTACTCCCTCTCCCATCACAGAAGATCTGGTTGGACTAGGCCTCCCTCCTCCTGCTTCCCACACGTACACTGGGGCTGTAGGAGACTTGCCGGCATTGCCTCACCTTACTTTGCTCTTCAAGTCTGATCTTGTCTTGATGGTCATGCATTCCAAGATTTGTCTGTCTCATGAATATCATAGGAGGTTGAAGGTAAAATGAGGATTGTCACCCAGGGCCTTACCTATATCTTGTGCCTTTTAAAGATGGCCCTGGCAAAGGAAGTGAGGGTGGCTCCTAAACTCATCCCAAAAGTAGAGGCCCACTTCGCATAGATGTGGGGATACCATCAATGGCAGTGTGTGCATTGTTGGAAAGAGGGAGGTTGGGGATGGAGTTATTGAGAGGAGAAAATGACTGGGCAGGGAGGTGGGGGTGGGGGTGGGGACTTCAGATAAGGAAATTTATGTGATAGCATGAGGAAAGGTGGAATTTCTAGATTCATTCTCTTGACTGGGTAGGTAGCCCCAGACGCTGCAAGGGCCAGCAGACAAAGGTAGGCATGAAGTTGGGAGCGAGCTTACTCATACAGCTCCTGTCCAGTCTAGCAGCCTGTTCTAATCACTAGAGTTGAACACTGAGATGGAGGTGGGCCCTGTAGTGGTTTCTGCTTTCCTTTCCTTAAGTAGCATCTGGGGTAATGGCCTCTCTGTGACCTGAATCCCTGCGACTGAACACTTTCCAACTCTGTGCTGCTTTCAGGCTTTCAAGTATTTGAATGAAGGAGAAAGGTTGCTGAAAATTCTCAAGAAAGAAAACTCTGGGAGTCAGACTTTTGAGGCTGCCACTTTTTATAGCCTCAAAGGTCAGGTAAGAAACCATTAAAGGCATCAATGTGCTATTTTCCTTGAGTCTTTCCAGAAAAGAACTGAAATATCCTCACACTTGCCATGTCATCCTCTGATTCCCTGCTACAGATTCCTGTCCAAGATTCTAGAATCCCAAGCCCCTGGACTCAAAAACCTCCTCACTGTCACTAGCTGTAAGATCTTTCCTGTCCTCCATTTGACTCCTTTATGAGCTATCTTGTAATAACCTCTAAAATTGGATGTAAATTGGTGAATAAACATTTTCTTAGAAATACATTATATACTACTAAGAGGACAGGTCCTAGTCTCCAGCCTTCCTTCATGCACACATCCAATAAGCATTTACTGTTATGCTAGACACATAGGGATTCTGTTTTTGGGCCACAGATCAGCTTTTTTGTTAGGAATGCACTAATCTTGGAATCATTGTTTTTCTTCTCTCCCTATAGGTTTGTTTTAATATGGGCCAAATGGTGCTTGCCAAGAAAATGCTGAGGAAGGCACTGAAGCTCCACAACCGGGTCTTTCCTTATAACTTGGTCTCCCTGTTTCTCCAAACCCATGTTGAGAAAAACAGACACTTTCGTTTTGTGAATCAGCAGGCCGAAGAGAGCTTACCTCCAGGGTAAGGGAAGAAACTGGGGAGAACTGTATGATACATCCCACTTCCCAGAGGATGGAGACCTACACACCATGCATGTCAGCCCCCATATCTTGGTCTTCTGAAAGTACAAGGACCCCTATTTTTGTCTGACCACTCCTTGGGGCGGGGGAAGTAAACGTAGGAGGGGCTCCCAGTCCAGGGCTGGGGTCCCCCAGAGCATTTTACAGATAGCTGTTATCAAAGGAATTCAGATGAAAGCTGGGTGCTGGTCAGGAGACAGAGATCAGGAGGACGGCAGTTCGAGTTCACCCCAGGCAAATAGTTCATGAAACCCTATCTTGAAAATAACCAACACAAAAAGGGGCTCAAGTGGTAGACCAACTGCCTATCAAGGGTGAGGCCCAGTACCACAAAAAAACAAAACAAAACAATAACAACAACAATTTCAGATGACAGAAGCATAAAGGATCTCTTTGCAAAGTGAATTCCAGTGCCCACCCCACCCCCACTCATCTAGTCTCTGAATCCGCTGGCCATCCATTGTCCAATCAAAACCAGCACCTATATGCCTAGAACCTCAGTCACCATCCCTCTCCCATTCAGTGCTAAAATAATGGGTATGGCCAAAAGAAAAGTAGCAGGCCTTAAAACATCTGCCAAAGGATCAAACTCCCAACCCATCTGTGCATGTTCTTAAGGATGAAGGTTCCATGGATGTATCTTTAGGTCAAAATTATACTGTTAAGATTTGTATATGTCAATATATGTGCATTTTACCTATAAAACAACCATTAAAAAAATGGAGGCTGAAGGCATAGCTCAAGTAGTAGAGCACCTGCCTAGCAAGCAGAAGTCCTTGAGTTCAAACCCCACTTCTGCAAATAACAGTAATAATAATAGTTCCACAATGCATGGAAAGGTAGATGAAATAAGAATGTTGGTCATTGTTGAAGCTAGGTATTAAGTACTCTTTTATTGCCATGTGTATGTTTGAAATTCCCATAATAAAAGTTTTAAAAGATATTCCATCTACATAGCAATTTTTATCAAGAGAGATGATACCCTGTTGGGAGTCTGGAGAGCTGACAGAGAATATCTCAATTTTGGGAGAGAAAGTAGCAATATTTATACAGCTTCTGCTCAAGATGCACACATCTGTTCCTATGAGCAAGTTGCTACAGCAACCCCAACAAAAACTGCCCTCCCAACCTTTCAAAAGTGTTCCCTTAGATGTGGAAGGTGCTGGGGTGAAAATGAGATGGAACTGAATTCCTTTGCAGGCTGGAGGTGAGCTCCTAGGTTTAGCCTGCTGTTTCTGCAGATGTCAGGAGGAAGGACAGAAAGCATAGCAGAGACCTCTCTTGAAAAGCAAGAAGAAAGTGGTCTTTGGGTTACATATAGGGTTGCCAGATAAATACAGGATGCCTAGCTACATTTAAATTTCAAAAAATAATTTTTAATACACATATGTCACATGAAATATTTAGGACATGTACATTGTAAGAAAATTATTAGTTGCTTTTAAATTAAGATTTAACTGGGCATCTTATATTTTCATTTACTAAACCAGACAACCTGGTTTGCAACCACATTTTATGAAAGGAAAAAGAAGCACCTGCCCAAGGGGAAAAAGTAGAAAAGTGTTGAAGAGGAAAAAAACGTGGAGCTGTAGACTGAAAATACTCACTAGCCAAAGGTTCTTATCTGTAAACTGAGTAATAAGTAACAATGTTTAATGTCAGGGTCTGCATTCCTCCTGAGTGCACTATATTAAAAAAGAGATTTTACCCTATCCATGCTTTTGGACTGGAGCCTTTAAACATAATTTCTACAACAAAACCAATGTTTTCAATGTCTAAGTGGAAAGTCCCTGAAATTCCTCCTTAGCATCTCAATAATCTCTTTCCTCCTTCCTTCTTATTTTTATTTAAAATCTTCCTTTTGAGAAGTATTTGTAACTATATTTTGTTTTCTTGGTTTAAGTTGCTAACACTGTATCCACCTTGTTGAAGTTCTCATTTCTATCATATACATACATATACATATATATGGTAGAAAATCTATCTATAGAGATAGACGGATAGATGGATAGATAGATAGATAGATAGATAGATAGTATTTTGTCTACATTATCAGGCAAATAGTATATTGAGCCTGAGACTAAAAACCCAAACATTCCTTGTGGAAGGTCATCTTCTTTCTTTCTTTAATACTCCAAAACTATATGTTTGCCACTCCTGTGACATTGCATTCCACTGTTGGAATATAATTGTTAAAAATGCTCATTTACTTTGTTGAGTGGAGCCCTGGCTCCTGATAGCAAGGGGACGTGGAGGAAATAAAGCATGGGATTGGCAAGGACTGGAGGTGAACGAGCCGTGAGTCCTCGCACCACCACATTATTGCTGTGTGACTTCGAGTTAATTACTTAGCCTGTCTGAGTTTCCTCTTCCCCATGTATGAAATGAAGTTAACTTATTCCTTCCTTTCCTACAGGGTTGGCATCAGACTCAAATGTGATTATTGATATCAATGTGCCTTTTCAGTAGCTTCCTTTAACTAGTAATTACCTGATACAAAGCAGCTGCTTTACCTAAGTTACATTAATCATCACCAAGTAGGTATTGGGGTCTCCATTTACAATGGAGAAAACATGCGTTATAAAAATGAATGTGGTTGTTAGGAACGGGGACAAGCCTGAAACTCAAGCCAGATCGTGAGGACACAATATGCCTGTGCTCTTCTAAACGTTATGGTGATCCTTCCTTCTCTCTGTTTTCCATTTGTTTTACTTGATCAATAGGAAGAAGAGGCTGGCTCAACTCTACCAGCAAACCACCTGCTTCTCCTTGCTGTGGCAGATCTATAACTTAAGTTGTTTTTTTCACCACAAATATTATGGCCACCTGGCAGCTATGATGCAAGTGAATTCTGCACTGGAAACTCAAAATGATTTTCAGGTAGGGTATTTTTTGTAGCTCCTCTTTGAATTTCTGGATCCTATTTGGAGAAAAAATCCTAGCAAAACCAAACTGGGATTCAAAATCATGAGGATGAAAGTACATCCCTTTTTTTTTTTAATTTGGCGGTACTGGGGTTTGAACTCAGGGCCTCACACTTGCTAGGCAGGCGCTCTATGGCTGGAGCCTCTCCACCAGCCTAAAAGTACAGTCTTTTTGACTGGATGGTTTTGCCAGCAGCCTTAAATGTTTTGGCCCCCAGATCACTTCACATTCTTGAAAATTATTAAAGATTCCAAATAGTTTATATGGGCTGTATCTATTGAGAAAAAAAATTTTTTTAACTTTAAAAAAAGAAAATACTTTAAAAGCAATAAACATATTACATAGTAACATAATAAACATTTTCATTAAATATTTTCCCAAACTAAAAATATAATAAGTGTGACATTGTATTACATTGACATCTGGTTTCATAGAATATTCCTCCATCTGCTTTCATTGTCATTCTGTGGCAATCTCACATATGCTACAGTATACTCAGAGAACAAGAGTGAAGAAGCAAATGTTAAAAGCTAATCCTCTTTTAAAAGATGGGATCATGACCGGGCACCAGTGGCTCATGCCTGTAATCCTAGTTACTTGAGAGGCAGAGATAGGAGGATTGCCATTTGAGGCCAGCCAGCAAATAGTTCACAAGACCCTATCTTGAAAAATACCCAACACAAAACAGGGCTGGCAGAGTGGCTCAAGTGGTAGAGTGCCTGCTAACAAGTGTGAGGCCCTGAGTTCAAACCCCAGTACCAAAATAAATAAATAAATAGATAGATACAATTAAATAAAAGATGGAATCATGAGTTTCACAAATACAAAAAGAATACATGTCAAAAGATTTGAGTTAACTCAATGAGAGAACTAGTAAGGTGTCAGCAGGTTCTAAAGTGAAATGGTTATAAAACTAGTCTAGTCACAGGCAATAGTCACTTGTAATGTCCTAAATGATTACATTTTTATGAAAAAGAATCATATTATCAGTTTTCTGCAACATGCAGAGTTGTAAAATAGCTCAAAGGAATAGAAGATAGAGATAGCCTTGCTTGGTGAGCTAGACAGAACATCCACTAAATTTTTGTTTTGGCCTATTTCAAGGTCTTCCAATGTTTTTCCTGACATAAATAATTCCCTGATATTATGAAACTAGCTTTGACCTCTCTGAAAGGGTCTCAGGGACTACTACAGATCCTAGGATAAATTGGAAGAACCATTAGTCAAGGTCACAAACAGGGAAGCCTTTGATAGATGAAGAAGAGCCTAGTATCAAGGGCAAGAAATTGTTAAGGCAGATCTAACTCATCCAATAAGGGTGAACCTGGCTTCTTCTGAAAAGTGTCTTTTAGGGTAATAACTTTTCCTGGAGTTATTAATTATCAAGAACTGAGAGTATTGGTCAAGTAGTACTATGAATGTTGGAGGTACTTAAATTCCTAACCAGGAATCTATCCCCAGCATTAGTACCTTTCAGGAGACCCAGGCTCCTTGCCCCCCACCCCGCACCCTGATACGGAAGTGTTTATGAAGTCTATCAAGACTGAGTTCCTGCCCATTTCCCATCTTCCTCTTCTAGCTCCTGGGCCACAAAGTACAGCCATCTTGGTAATTCTGGTGCCTCAGACATAGAAGTTCAATCTCATCTTTACAGTAGATGTTTCCTCTGCCTGGAGTGTTCATTCCCTGAGCCTTATTGGGTTGATTCCTTATCAACTTCAAGGTCACCTCCTCAGTAGACTTCTTGACCACCTCTTTTTTTTTGGCATGTACTAGGGATTGAGCCCGGGTAATTGTGCATGCCAGCAAGCACTCTACTACGGAGCTATATATATATCCTCAGTCCTTTTTATTTTCTTTGAGATCGGGTCTTACTAAGTTGCCCAGGTAGTCTCAAACTCTTGATTCTCCTGCCTCAGCCTCCCAAGTAGCTGAGACAACAGATGTGTACTGTTTAGGGGCATAGCCCACTATGGGCTTGACCACCTCCTTTAAACTAGCCACCCATTCATTATTTTAATTGGTCTTCTTGACCTTTAACATTTTCTTGTTTGTTCCTTGATTTGTTCATAGTCCGTCTCCTTTACTAGTCTGTAGACTCTGTGAGAACCAAGACTTTGTTTGCTGTCTTGTTCATATCCTGAAGGGCTAGAACACCACCTTGAACATAGCAGACACTCAACAAACATTTATTGAATGAAATACTTCGCTTTCCTGCATTTGGGATGACTTCCTAAAAACTAGTGGGGTTGGAGTTAATGGAGAGGATAAAATGGAAAAATCCAATTGGAAAGTGGGTTAAGACATTTGTCACCAAGATGGTGGGGACTAAAGACAAAAAAGGAAACACTCCCCTCAGTGTTCAAAGGCAGATGAGGCAATTGGTGTAGGATAACAAAGACCCAAAGTGAGAGCATAGAATGGTTTCCCAACTGGGCACTAGTGACTATTTGATGAGGCTCAGATCAGGAGGATGGCAGTTCAAGGCCAGCCCATCTCCAAAACAACTAAAGCAAAAAAGTGGACTGAAGGCATGGCTCAACCAGTAGAGGACCTGCTTTGCAAGCACAAAGCCCTAAGTTCAAACCCTAGCTAGTCCCACCAAAAAAAAAAAAATTTTTTTTCCCAGAAGCTACCAATCCTCAGAGTGAAACACACAACCTCAGAACTTTATAATTTTCCCCATAAAGTGAAGCTATTGGACTCCATTCTCTTGGTCCAAATCCAAGAAGTCCAAGGCTATATTGCAGCCATGGATTTTTCATTTGTCCAACAATTTTCTCTCCTCTATCACCATTTCTGGCTCTCCTTCCTTTCTGTTAGCATTATCTGAAGCATGTCCTAAACCAAGAATGAAGGAATTTGCTGAAATGAACTTTGCAATTTACAAGTACCCAGAGACCTACCTTTAAAAGAATTTGTGGACTGGTTGTTTTGTGCAATTTGTGGAATTCCAGGGAAAAGCGCCCTATTCTAATGCCTTCCTACCCAAATGTCTAATACCTCTACCATTAGAGAGTCTGTATTTCTCCTGTTTGTATTTTTCAAAGCACAACATATTGTTTTTCATATATATATATAATTTATTTATTTATTTATTTGTTCTTTAGAAGGAATTATTTTCTCCTTGCCCTTCTCTAAACATTTACATTCTGAAGCAACTTTATCACTTTAAAGATTTCTTTAAAGAGTAATCAGCTTCTCTTAAGTCCCTAATTAGGTTTAGAATTAATTCTTACCAACCTTTTCTTGTAAAATTACAAAAGCAATACATACATATTATAACAAATTGAACATTACAAAAGTGCATAAAAGAAAAAGGAAAATCCTTCTTCTCCCTCAAATAAACATGGAAGGGGCTCCACCCTAACAAATAAGCAACTACTCTTTAAACTTTGGAGTGCATCTTTCCAGTTCTTGTGCTATGCAGCCATGTGTCCATACATAAAAGCTATTGCTTTTATTTTTGTAGAAATTAAAATGTATATCATTTAAGGACTGTAGACAAGAGGAGCCATTGAGATCATTGTCCACCAGTGAACAGGTGGCAGAAGCCTAGTTTGACTTCTGTCTGTAAACCCATGCTTTGGTCCAATGGCCAGCTCTCTTCCCAAGCTTAAGCAAATGTTACTGGTGGGCACTGGGTGATTTTCCAGAGCTTTCGGTTTTGAGTTTCACCCTCAATCTTGCCCTTTCTCTCTTCCATTGCTGCCATTTCAGATCATTAGGGCTTACCTGGACTATTCGCTGTACCACCAGCTGAATGGCTATAAGGATGTGTGGTTCAAATATGAAGTCATGGCCATGGAGCAGGTCTGGAACCTCCCACTAAAAGGCGAGGGCATTGAAATTGTGGCATATGTGGCTGATACACTGGGCTACATCAAGTTCATAAAGGGTCACCTGGACTTGGCCATTGAGTTAGGTAAGTGCTGGCTGGGCAAGAAGGCACATGAAGACATAAATAATGCCTGAAACACACTGGAATTGTTTTCTTCCCAGGCTTTCGAGCTCACAAGATTTGGGCACTGCTCCAGAATCCCAACAAACACTATATGGTCCTCTGCAGACTTAGTAAATCTCTCTTCTTGAAAAATAGGTATCTATCTTAAATCATTTTCCACAATTAGGAAGCCATATTATTAAGTGTTCTGGGCTCATTTTACCTTGACCATATGGTAGGGAAACGAGTACAATTCACAATAAGTTAATGTAGTTGATAATTGCCATTGTTTCCCTTTGAATACCACTTTTTTTTTCTGTTAAGTCTCTTAACGATTCTTTCATAAGTATCATCTCTATTCTGGTTGCTCTGGCCCATGACTGGAGGGAACCAGTCATCCTTAATGACCTTAATGTGAGAATCAGGCTTCCATCCCCACTAGATATAGGAAAAGTGGAAAGGATATAGGGAGAGCATACCCAGTGAAGAGCAACCAGGTCTGGATGCCCAAGCCAATTTGACCTTGCTCTGGACACCTTGATATGGAAGACCACTGTAAGATCTTTTCAAAAAAGAAGCCAACTGGAGATTTGGGTTTCAGATTTGAGCAGGGATGGGTTTGATGTTTTAAAGGCTCCTTAAGAGTTGTACTTGAGAATGGCATTGGTGGCTCATGCCAGCAATCCTAGCTATTTGGGAGGCTGAGATTGTGAGGATTGTGGTTTGAGGCCAGCCCAGGCAAATAGTTTATGACTCCCATCTCCAAAACATAACTGGAGCATGTGGCTCAAGTGGTAAAGTACCTGCTTTGCAAGTAGGAAGCCCTGAGTTCAAACTCCAGTCCCACACACACACAAAAAAAAGCTGTATTTGGTTCTGAATTACTGAGCAGGACAAAGACTAAACTAGGACTGAACTTCATTTCTTCCCCCACCACTTTTTTGTCACAATGCCTTTTCTTTTCCATAGATACAAGCAATTGATCTGGGTGCTGGGGTGGCTATGGGATCTTTCTGTAGCAGAAGAGCACATCTTCAGCAAGGCATTTTTCTATTTTGTCTGCTTGGATATCATGCTTTATTCTGGTAAGTGTGACTTCAGAATTTAAAAGAAATTGGGAGTGTAGTCCCTGTGCTGATGTAATGATGTATCAGGTCAAGGGTTGTGAGAACACGAGTTTCCAGGTTGGATGGACGTATAAAAAAGGGATAGAGAAAACCTCGTGGTGTGAGCTGAGAAGCTATCCAGCAGGTGCCAAGGTTGTAAGGGAGCAGCAAGAAGGGTAATCAAATCTGGAGGAGACTCTTGAGACTAAGCTGTCAGTTAAACTGTCTGATCAATTTTCATATTAGTGTCACTGGCATCAACTTACTATGTGCATTTTATTAGGAGTATTTCATTTTTATAGACGATACTTAGAGACTCCATGCTTTGAATGATGAGTTGGATTGCTAATGATGAGAACTGTTGGTGACTTGGAAGAGAAGCTCTTTCCTGGCAAGCTTTTAGTGACATGAAGTAGGCATCCCACAGTGTACATGTGAATCCCGAGGGACCAATCAGAGGATTATTTTCCACACATTTTGAAAGGGGATACACATATCATTACCAAGAAGGGAACCATGGGTGGAAAGATGGAGAAGTCCTAGGCTATGGTAGGGCTGACTGTTTGCACTTGGGCTATAAAAGGTTGGTTTGAACTCCACTCCTGCCTGGTCTGTACTATAGAATTGTGTTATAGATCCATACAATCCACAATGTAACTTGGAATCAGCAAACACAGGGCAATGCAGTAATGTGGTTGTTGCAATCCATGGGACTCTTTGGATTCATAAAGTAATCAGAGGTGACTATCTCAGCAGTGGGAAATTCTATTGGAGCTATTATGCCAGAAAGATGACCCCTACACACACACACACACACACACACACACACACACACACCCCTACCAGCAAAGCTCTCCTGTTTCTCTCTTGTTTAGGCTTTGTTTATAGATCATTTGAAGAATGTCTGGAATTCATAAATCATAATGAAGACAACAGAATTCTCAAGTTCCAAAGTGGACTCCTCCTGGGACTTTATTCCTGCCTAGCTATCTGGTAATAATGGGCTGCATATCACTAAATAAGAAGAGTTCTGTGAAATTTTTTTAAAAGAAAGAAAAAGTATTCATCATTTATATCTGAGACAGCTTAAAGGTGTCAGAGAATATTTACAGAGAAAGACACCTGAGGAATCCTCCTCTGGTTCATCACCCTCAACCAAGGACAGAAAAGTGGTGCTTATCCAACTCAACAAACACTTCTTACATACACATCATGTGGGATAAATTAGAAAAGATGACAGTCAGACTCCCCCCCATCTGTGGATTCTGTATTTGTGGATTCAAGTAAAGCCAGACAGAAAGTATTTGGAGGAAAAAATCACAACTGTACTCACCATGTACAGACTTTTCTTGTCATTGTTCCCTGACAACACAGTATAACACTCTTTACCTAGGATGTACATGTATTCAGCATTATAAATAGAGGCAATTTACATACACTGGAGGAGGTTATGTGCAAAGACTGCGTCATTCCATATGTGGGGCCTGAGCAGCTGAGACTGTGGTATCTATGTGCGTCAGGACCTGGAGGGGGGGTGTCCTGGAACCAATTCCCCAAGGATATTAAGGGACAACTTGCTTCTGAAGAGTGCTGGGGTTTGAGAATGACTAATAAATAGTGCCACTTGCTCATGCACACCCACATGGATTTAATCAGGTGGAAAACTTTTTTGTTGTTGAAAGTACTGGGATTTGAACTTGGGGCCTCACATGTGCTAGGCAGGCACTCTTATCACTTGAGCTACTCCATCAACTGTGTTGAGCATTTTTGAGATAGGGTCTCTCAAACTCTTTGCTCCTTGGCCTTGAATCTTGATCCCCCTGATCTCTGCCTCCTGAATAGCTAGGATTACAGGTGTGAGCCACCAGCACCCAGCAGGAAAAATATTGTTAATGAAGCTAATATTGGGGGGATATGGTTTACATTTGTAGGGAAGTGGACTTCCTAATTGTAAATTCCAGGATTAGACTTACCCATTCAGCAGTAGCCAGTTCTGGAAATTGTAGGCCTCCCTCATTTGAGAGAGCTAGGTGCCGAGCTGCACTTGCCTAACTCTCTCTCTCTCCTAATCACCAGCCAACTAAATCATTCCTTATTGGAGGAGTGCACAAAACAGAGAAATAGACCTGGTGCTTTGCACCAATGGAGGCCCCTCATGTGGAAGGAAACTTCAGGTGTGAGGAAAAAGCACTCTTCCCAAGGCTTAATCCCTTTTACCTATTAAAATTGCAATTTGCTAAACCTCTGCTCGTGTCCTCAAGAAGAGATGAACAGTAAGTCTCCAAAGTAGGTCAGAACACAGAAAAAACAAAAAAAATAGGTCAAAGCAGAACATTAATTAAATTCCATGACTATTTCCCAGACTGAAAGTCCTCCCATTTTATTTCCTACCTCAAATTATATGCAGCCATGTTATCTAATGTGGTCCATCAAATGTTCTGTGATGAAGGGTTTGGGGTTGTAGAGCATGTGCTTTTCATAGCAGGGGGTGGGGTGCTAAGTTGGATCCTCAACACCACACTACACACACACACACACACACACACAAGAATATTTGTGATGAAATTAGATGACAACATAAAGATATTCTTACATAAAACACCACAAATTAGAGTACCTACAAATTTGAATGGAAATGCCCTCTGGTTATAAAAATTACTTGGGAGAACTTAAAAATCCCCAAATTAATTTTTACCTTTGTCAGTGAAAAGTTCAAAATCAAATTGACTTGTCCATGTGAGTTAAAGTTTAAGGAATCTAAAAGTTTAAAATTCATCTTAATATTCTACTCTATCTCAGCTGGGGGAGGTTCTTTTTTATTTTATTTTTTTGGTGGTACTGGGGTTTGAACTCAGAGCCTCACTTTTGCTAGGCCTAGGCAGGTGCTCTACCACTTGAGCCACTCCACCAGCCCTGGAGGGTTCTTTAAATATTGTGACCTGAGCCAATGCTTCTCACATTTAGTGGGCATAAGAAGCTTGTTAACTCAAATTCCTGCCCCAACTCCAGGGCCTAATTCAGTAGATCTGGGTTGAACCTGAGGATTTGTATTTCAAAGGAGAACCCAGGTGATACCAAGCATGTTACCTGCATAGCACTCTTCAGTAGCACTGCTGGCCTCTGCCATCTCTCTTTGGAAGTGGAGCAGTTTCTTCAAGCCCCAAGATCTACAGTCTGATCTGTCTCACTTTCCAGAGTCCAAAGAATTCAGGAGATGGCAGTTAGTATTACCTGGCTGTTTCTAGGATTCTATCCATCTCAAATCATCAATTTTACTCTTTCCTGGCTTCCTATCACCTAATTTCCTGCTTTTTCAGGCAGAGGCAGACAGAAGTCCAGGTAATGAAAGCTGCACAGCCTGAGAGATCCATGTCAGGAAATCAGCCTATCCAGAAAGCCACACTGATTTTTCTTTTTCCTCTGTGGTGGTACAGGTATGGCAGACTTCAGGAATGGGAAAACTTTCACAAATTTTCTGATAGAGCTAAAAATCTAGTGCCAAGAAGAACCCCAACTGTTCTGTACCACGAAGGAGTCATTAGGTATATGGAAGGGCAAGTTCTCCACCTTCAGAAGCAAATCGAAGAACGATCCGAGAATGCCCAGGACAAGGGGGTTGAGCTGCTCAAGGTGAGGCCTGTCTCTGCTTCCCAGTATAAATCCCCTTCTTGAATGGATTGCTTTTGTTTGTTTGTTTGTTTGTGTCTTAGACAGGGTCTCAGGCTGACCTCAAATTCTCAATCCTCCACCTGTCTCCACCTCCTGAGGGCTGGGAACATAGGTATTAACCACCATGCCTGGCACCTTCAGTAGATTTGTATTAAGCACCTGAGCTGTCTTTTTTTTTTTTAATTATAGAGTTTATACATATGTATAATAGAAGATTTTGAAAGCAACCCTCCTGAAAAAATTAGAATACAAATTATGCGTGACTAGTATTTGGAAATTGCCACTCTTTATATATTGCGATATCACTTTTCAAGTTTTTTTAAATGTATGTGTGCATACTCATTTCCATTTGTTGTAATTTGCTGTTAAATATAGGATTAATGATTTCCCATCACTAGATTGTTTTTCATACCACAATTTAAAAGGAAGCATATATTTGATCTTTTGGATACACTGCTGAACTATATAATCCAATTATTTTTGGATGTAACATTTCTGCATGTATTGCTGTGATAACCAGCCTGGTAGATAAATCTTTGTACACAACAATTTTAAATATTCATACTGATACGTAATAAGCACTAAATGCTAGGTGCTAGAGTACAAGAGTGAAAAAATTAGACTTGGTCTAGTATAGTTGTACAAGACCCCTAAGTAATAAAGGACAAAACCCCTGGTGTCAGGGTGATGCTTGCCTGGTTCTCATCAAAACTGAGCACAGGGGGCTGGCAGAGTGGCTCAGACAATAACAGCGCCTGCCTAACAAGGATGAGGTCCTGAGTTCAAAGTCCAGTACTGCCAAAAAAAAAAAAAAAAACCTGAGCATAGATGTGTTAGTTTTCTATTGTATTGTGACAAATTATGGCAAATTTAACAGCTTAAAACAACACCCCAACACCAGGAGGCTGTGGGTGTAACTCAGAACATGGGCTCTGCATGTGAGAGACCCTGGGTTCAAGCCCAGCACCAAGCAAATCAAATACCACCACCACTACCCACATCCTGTTTCACAGTTTGGCAGGTCACAGATCTGGGTGGGCTTGGCTGGGATTTCTGCTTAAAATCTTCCAAGGTTAAGTTGGGCTCCCGTGGTGCACAGCTGTAATCCTAGCTACTCGGGAGGCAGAGATCAGGAGGATTGCGGTTTGAAGCCAACCCAGGCAAAATAGTTTGCAAGACCCTATCTCAAAAAAAACCATCATACAAAAGGGCTGGTGGAGTGGCTCAAGGCATAGGCCCTGAGTTCAAACACCAGTGCCCCCCCCACACACACAAAAGATCTTCCAAGATTAAAATCAAGGTGTTGGCCAAACTATGTTCTGATCTACAGGATTGTAAGTCAAATGCTGTGCTCCAAGCAGGTGATCCATTGATTTGGGCAGACCGAAGGGCAAACAGGAGCCAGGAGGGAGTTTTATATGGCTTATTATCCATTGCAGCCTTCAACCAGCCAGCCAGTCAGCCAGTCCCCATGGTCTCCCACAGGCTGCTCAGTGTAGCAGTTTTTATACAGATACAGACAAAAGCGGTATCCAGCCAAGTTATTACATCTACTGCACAAATTCAACTCCCTAGTTATGTAACTAGTAGTCCTTGGGTGGTTACTTAGTGACAGTGTACTTATCTCTAGAATGTGCCTATGTACATGGTGAATCAGCCTAAACATAATCACTTTCCCTACAAGGAGCTAGGCAAGAATTTGCTTCCAAGGTCTTTCTGTCTGTTGGCAGGATCCAGGTGCCTAGCACATTCAAGCCTCACCTCTGAAAAAAAAAGGCAAGGGGGAAAAGCAGGGGTGGGAAGCCTAGGGAATCGACATGATAAGTAGAAGGAGTACAAAAACATAAATGACTACAAAGCCAAATTGTGTCCGCCACAGTGCACAGAATGATGTAGATGTTTAATTTGTTGAATGAATACTCAAAGGACTAAATATACATGTGACAGGTTAGTCAGGAAAACTCCCATTTCAATGATATTGAAGTAAATGCAATTAAACACCACCACCAACAAAAAGACATTGGTTTGTTGGCCATTAAATTAGCAAAGACAAGAGAAAAAGACACACATTTTTCATAAAGCATTCAGGCAAAATGTATAAATATCTTTAAAATATGCACATAATTTTTTTCAGTAATTCTCTTCCCAGGAATTATCCTAAAGAAATAATCTGATGGCAAAAAATTTTGTAAAGATGTTGCTCTCATGTTTATAATATTGAAAAACTAAGACAAGTCTAAAACTATATCAGAAATGCTACAGTGAAATGTTAGGATATTTTACATGACACACCTGAATCTCTGACTCTAGAAACTGAAGTGTCTGGCAACATGAGGCATTCCTACTGGACAGCAATAGGCCGTGTTGACAAGTTACACTTCGATAGGCAGGCCTTCTCCAGTAAACCATAGCCCCCTCTGCTTCTAATCTTCCTGCATCCAGCCTGTGTTATTTGTCTGACTTCTGTCAGCATTTGAGCTTGTGAGCCCTGATGTGAAAGAATAATATCTTCAGAAAGTATTCATAGTATGACTTTAAAAGAAAGGAAAATGTTTGCCTATTGTGTGATAAGTATGATTCTAACTGTGATGGGTATGACTGTATGAGTGTGTGTGCATGCACTGTGTGACAGACATAGAAATACAAAGTAAAGTAGGAAAATCTGTACCCTAACGTTAAAGCTATTTCTTTCTGGGTACTAGGGTGATGGGTGAAAAGTCTTTACATGCAATTCTTATCTTTATTCCTCTATAGATAAGGAATATTTCATGCCTCACCCACCCCACCCCCCTGACTTCTTTCTAGATTTTCTTTCTTCATCCTTGACTTTCTGTAGTTTAAAATGATATGCCTAGGTATTGCTTTTTGTGACTTAACCATGCTTGGTATTCTCTGAGCTCCTAGATCTGTGATCAGGTGTTTGACCATAATTTGGGAAGTTTTCATTCATTAATGTTTCAAATATTCCTTTGTTCTTCTCTCTCTTCTTCTGGTATTCCATTATCTATGTGCTGTACCTTTTGTTGTTTTGCCACAGTTCTTGGATGTTCAGTTATGATTATTTTTAGTCTTTTTAGTTCTAGAAGTTTCTATTGAGCTCAGCGATTCTTTCCTCAGCTGTGTCCAATCTACTGATAAGCTCATCAAAGGCATTCTTTTTTTCTTACAGTGTTTTTGATCTTTAGCATTTCTTTTTGGTTCTTTCTTAGGGTTTCCATTTCTCTGCCTCTATTGTCCTTGTTTGCTCTCTGTCTGCTTTATCCATTAGAGTTCTTGCCATAGTTAGCATAATTATTTTAAATTCACAATCTGATAATTCTAACATCCCTGCCATATCCAGTTCCTGTATTAAATCTGTCTCTTCAAACTGTGGAGTTTTTTTGTTTTTGCTTTTTAGTATGTCTTATAATTTTTTCTTAATAGCTGGACAGGATGTATGAAGTAAAAAGAACTGGTGTAAACAGGTCTGTGCTAATACAGTGGCAAGGTGTCAGAAGGAGGGGAGGCATTTGATAGTCTTATGATTAGCTTTAGTCTTTAGTGAGCCTGTGTCTCTGGAGTTTGAAATTCACATTTTCAGTCCTTTCCCTCACAGGGGATGCAGGATGGCTAGAGCCAGCTTCTGTTAGGGCATTTCCCCATCAGTTAGACTCTTAAGAAGACACAGTGCTCTGGCATATTTAAAAATGGTTCCTTTTTGCCTCCCTCTGCTGGAAGCATGAGGGAATTTTTGTCCAATATTTGCTGTGAGAACCTCGTCACACTCTTCCAGGTAAAACACAGAAGAATGGAGGAAGGGGTCTTTTTGTTTAGTTTTGCTTTTATCCAGCTCTTTTTCTTTTTTTAAACAATGTCTAACTATTTAGCTCAGCTGCACTCTAATTTGTAATCCTCCTGCCTCAGTCTCCATAATGCTGGCAGCTTTATTGTTGTTATTATTATTGTCAAATAAACATAACATTTGCTATGTTAACCATTCTAATACAGTTCATTAGTACTAAATAAATCCATAATGTTGAACATTCATCAGCACCATAACCATCCATCTTTCTCCATAATTTTTTTCATTACATGTACATTTGTTAAACTTAATCTGGCTTATGAGGTCTGTATTTCCTTACTTACCTTCTGTCTGATCATTCTTTCCGTTATTGAGGATGGAATATTAAACTATCATTGTAGCACTATTTCTTCTTTCAGTTCTGTCAGTTTTTTATGGTTTTATTACTTGATGCATAAATGTTTATAATTGTTATGTCTCTTGTTGTATTGTACCTTTATTAATGTATAAAGTTCTTCTTTCTTTCTTGTAACCTCTTTTGACTTAAAGTCTATTTTGTCTGGTATTATAGATTTGCATCCAACAATTTGGAAGCTGTGGATATCAGATTCTTCTTCCCCAGGATTTGCTGGGTTTTTTGTTTTTGACTTATATTGTTTCAGGCTGTGTCTGTGCCAAGGATCAGCCTGGAATGTAAAGTCTTCTCTGATGTTTTCTGAGCCTGGGCTTTTCCCTAGGCATGCACAGTCACTTTCTAACTTTCCCAATATAGGTAAATGCTTGTGAATATCCTAGTATTATTTAATGTCTGATCTCATATGGGAAAAGAGAAAAAGTGAAGGGAGAGTTGGTGCATTGACCCTTTAAATTCCCTGTAAGTCCCCTGGGGGCCGGGTGTAGCTTGCTACAATGGCTATCTGCCCCCAAGTCTGCACTTTTGTGCAGTCATCACTGATCCGAGCCCAGAGCCCTACACTTAGGATCTTTTTGCCCATCCTGGTCCAAGAAAGTTTTGTGTAGGTTGCCCCCCCCAGAACGTGTGTATAGCTGCTTACCACAGGGCTGGGAGTGGGGAAAAGTAACTACTATGGTGTTGAGAGTTGAAGCTGACCAAAATCAACTTCAGTTTACCATCCTCTGCCAGTTACAACCTTCAATAGACTTGAAAATTCTAGAAGAGTGATATTGTGACATATTCTGCCAGTGCAGTGGTATTCTAGGAAGGGAGACAGATATCTCTTTCCTACTTTGCCCCTGGAGTTTTTAACTCTAAGACTTGGCCAGCCTGAGGCTCTAGCTCTTTATCAGTGATGGTGCAGGTTTTCCCACCCTGGCTCTGGCTCCTCAGCACTTTCCATTTCACCCTCTGAATTCGCCTGTCAGTCTCTCTGGTCTTGGGGGTGGCTGTCTTTCCTGTGTCCTCACCTCTTGAATCCAAGGAAAGTTGATGATTTTTTAGTCTGTTCAGTTGTTTTCTTATTGCTGGGACCAAGTGATGATTTCTAAGATCCTTATATGCAGAACTGACCATTCCAGCCCCCACCACCCTTAAATTTTCAAGAGTTAACTTGTACTGCTCTGATAATCAGAAGAAAGTATGCAGTGTGTGTACCCATGTACTTATGTTTATGTGGGTTTTAAGAAAATGTTGTTGCATTGACAGGCTCTCTCATATTGCATTCTTTGGCCCTGGTGGACCAATGGTGCTACTCCACCTGGCATTTATCATTTTATCTTCAATATGTGTCCTGCATATCTCTGTTATATACCTTCTCATTTGACTGCTTATATCCTTATAATGTTCCCAAATCATCTGTGGAGGAAATAACTTTCAATCAAGGACTTCTTTCTTATTCTGATTATCCTAGGTTTGTTTGCTGTTTGTTTGTTTGTGTTCTCCTCTAGAACTTACAGAACATTATAGCTCAGAATATCACTGGCCTTGTGTTCCACCCAAGGCTCTACCACTTGATGGCCTATGTCTGCATACTAATGGGAGATGGTGAGAACTGTGATCTCTTCCTGAACATAGCCTTGGAGCTCTGTGAAACACAGGGGAATGTGCTGGAGAAATGCTGGCTAAACATGAGCAAGGTATGTACCATTAGCTAGCAAGCTAAGGTGGGGATACCCACCTTTCTAAGGAAGTGCCAGAGGTTACTTCCCAGGTAGGTTCACCAGGTATGGAGGAGCATTGTCTTAGTCTATTTTGGCTGCTATAACAAAATACCTGAGACTGGATAACTTATATACAATAGAAATTTACCGTTCATAGTTTTGGAGGCTGGCAAGTTCGAGAGCAAGGTGCTGGAGATTTGACATCTGATGAGGGCCTATTCTTCACTGATGGTGCCTCTTGCTGGGTCCTCACCTGGCAGAAGGGCAGAAGAGGAAAATTTGTCCCCTTAAGCCCTTTTGTAAGGGGACTTATTCCATCCCTTATGACCTAATCACCCTCTAAAAGCTCTACCCTTCAATACCATTGCCTTTGGGGTTGGGTTGCAGCATATGAATTACGGGGTTCACATACATTCACACATAGTAGTCACCACATGTCTTACCGAAGGGACTGTTTGTTCATCATGCAAGTTGATAAGCTTCCTCTTGTACCATTTAAGTTCTCCTGCAATCTCCCCCTCATCCACATCCCCAAAGTGCAGCGTCTGACCCTTTCCATTATGTATTCCATTTGTTGGCATGTCTTTCCTCCCTTTGCCAATGTGAACTCGTCAAAAGCAAAACCTATGCTAAGTGCCCTAATACAGCATTGCTGAACAAACAAATGAATGTGTGCTTACTTAAAGAGGCAAGTGTCAGAGTCCTAACATGGATAGCAAAATTCATTTTTGTCTGTGAATTCCCCCAGTTTTAAGGACATTTTAGTCGAAGAGCATTAATCAATCCTTTGTTCTCTCTGCCCGCTCTCAGGAATGGTGGTATTCAAGTTCTAACTCTGAGTTAACAGAAAACCAATGGCTTCAAACAATCCTGACGCTCCCAACATGGGACAAAATTGTATCAGGCAAGGTAAACATTCAGGATGTTCAAAGAAACAAATTCCTGCTGAGAGTTAATATCCTGGACAATCCTTTCTAACACTTCCTGAAGGAGGACAGAGACCCAGTGAGAGCCATTCCTCTACCATGGTGCGTTGTTGGCATTTGTCCAGTTTCCTACATACTCTTCGGGACCAGCCATGGGACCAGACGCGTTGGTGTCTTTCTAGAGGGTCAAAAAGGGTTGTCATTATCACACTTTATTTCTCTAACTTCAGACAAATTGCTTTTACCTTCCTTGGATGTTATTGTAGCTTGTCCTGTGTTGTTCAGCACAAGCAAAATTTTATCATATGGGGAAATATTCATATCAAGGTGGTGTGACATCTCGTGTTGTGACAGACATGTTTTAGCTAATGTATTAAACTGAAAATGTTTATTTTTAAATGTGCAGTTGTTTAATCATTTAGAAGTAGCACAATATTGCAAATAGTAAACTTTTCTTTTGGTCTATCAGGGTAAGACTGAAAAAGACACATTTTTGCTGTCTGCAGCTTCCAAAGCCAGGGTGATTGTATGCTAATCCATCTAACCACAAAGATCAAATAAATTGGAAATAAACTTTTAATTGATTATTAATAATTTTGTTGTGAGTTTTATTTATTTATTTGTTTTTTGGTTCTGGGGATTGAACCCAGGGCCTTGTGCATGCTAGGCAAGCACTCTACTACTGAGCTACCTTCCCAGGCCCTATGGGTATCTTTTGCCTGCTTACAGTTTATATGTATTTTTAAAAATATTTAAGACACAACAGTATTTATCTTTATTTCCCAGATGTAAAGGCAAAGCTGTGTATTTCTCTTCCTGATAACATAACCTCTGTTCCACGTGGGAACAGAGGTGGGACAGAGCCAGATTAGCCACAGAAGCCTGGCAGCCTGGCATGCTGGAAGGGCACCGGGCTAGGAATCAGAACATCAGGTTCTAACATGAGCCCTGCCTCAGTCTACTCCCCGGGGTTTATCCAGACAATTTCCTCAATTTCAGTGTACACTTGAATATCAAGTAAGTTAGAAAAGGAAAAAAAAAATTGAAAGTTACAACATGCCATATAAGTAAAGAACAAATCAGTTTTGGATGAATATCAATAAACGCATCAATGTCATCCTGGAACTGCAAACTTGTCCCATGAGGCAACATAGAAGTTTCATACTTTCAAATTGCCTTCATTATTGTGTACATCATTCATTCTATCCACTCTCTCATTGGCTCGTCTAGCTAACACTGTTTGATGAATTAACCATGTACCAAGCACTTTAAGTACTGGAGATTAAGACACAAAGACATGAAAAACACAATTCCTGATCCCAACAAGCTTATAGGTCCACGAGAAAACAGACACAAACTTCACAGCCCATTCCACTGTGATGTCATAAGCTGTGTTCGATTCATATAAAGCACAGTGGAAAGGGTGACATAAAAAACCCAGACTTCACAAACACATAGCTGAAATTCCTGTGAAATCAAACCATTTTGACAACATTGTCATGAAAAGCCAAAGCATTCATCACAACAATTCCTTATATTTATACAACTCCCTATAGAAAATGTTAGGCCCACTCTTACCTTCTTCCTGCCAACCCTGAGAGGTGAGAATGGCAGACAATGTGGCTTGCTGATGTCACCTGGCTAGTAAGTAGCTGACTCCAATCTTTTGGCTCTCAGTCTGGGCTCCTGCAAACTACCAGGAAATCAACCTTTTCTGTCCCCCTCCCCCCCTTTTTTTTTTGAGACAAGGTCTTGCTATGTAGCCCAGGCTGACTAAATTTATAATCCTCCTGATTCCCTGATTATTGGAATTATAGGCATATGTGATTGATCGTACCTGGCCTTAGACTTTTCTTTCTTAAATAATTTTGACCATCTAAAGATTGGAGTTCACTTTAATGTGACCCATTTTACCCCTGGGGTTCATACAGAATATGTTTAAGCTTCTTACTCATGATCCCTCCAAATCCTGAACTTATCTTTCTGGATCTCTTTTCCAAGCTAAGTTCAGATACTTCTACTTCTACCAATACTTGATTTGAATTCCCTCAGCATTCTGATAATGCTTTTCTGAATATATGCAAATTTATCCCTATTTCTTTTTTAAATAAGTTACAGGATGACCAGTCTGGGACTGCTTAAACTGCTTATGCACTTCACTTCAGGGACTGCAATTATGGGAGTCACTATGGACATACTAATTAGCTGGAAGGTAATCCCCAATTGGCCACTTACTTTTGTGTCTTAGTTCTTTCATCTATAAGTGGAAATGATAATAAAAGTTGAATATCCCTAACCCCCAAAAACCTAAAATCCAAAATGGAACTTTTTTAAAATTTTATTTTTAGAATGTGTCTGGCTATATAGTCCAGGCTGGCCTCGAACTTAAGATCTTCCTGTCTCAGCATCCTAAATTCTGGGATTCTAACTGGAGTTTTAGATCCCAGGCCCAAACTGCTGGGCTTCCACATTTTAGGTTTGATCACTCACCCCTATATGCCAAATAAAGAAAAGGGTAGAGAAAGATTTACTACATGGTATGAGGACACCAGGACACACTGTGGGAAGAGGCAAGGTAAGTACTCAACCCATCTTCAGCCATCTTTGGGGTACAGACATAAGCTTTAACTTTAAATAGACAAAGAATTATGCCAGGAGACAAAGGTATGCATAGTTATAAGTCCCAGTAATAGGTGTGTTCCAGTGGTCAGATTGGTCGCTTGGGCCCGGTTGACCATTATCTCAGTCCTTGTTCTTCCAGGGTTCTGGAGAAGAAGTTATCACTGTCATCACTTGAGGGAAGCAATCTGATTCTCATGAGATGATTGCTTCTGCTCCAGGATGCAGCCTCATCGTTATAGGTAATTGTCCTCATTTGGAGGGGCGGCTTGTCCTGCAAGGCTTTTGCTGTTCCTTTAGGGTACTTTCAGTCCTTTGTCATAAAGACGTTATCTATCATTCCTGTCCTTCCTTGATTCCAAGGTGACTATAGGCGAGAATGGCTCAGAGCAAAGGACAACAGGTACAAAATGGGGACAGAGATGCTAAGCTTTTCTCCTGTTTTTGGTTAATTGTGGGCCCAAGCAAGGAGTTAGTGCTTTTCAGCAAAAACAGTTTAAGCACAGGATTAACTGATTTGGTGTGGATCACCAAATAAGAAGCTTTTTGAGTGGTGATACAATCTTCACTGGTAAAGTCTCTGCTAATATTCCAAAATTTGAAAAACTCCAGTGCTTGATCCCAAGAAGTTTGGATAAGAGATACTCAAGCTGTAATATCTACCTCATTTTTTGTTGTTTGTGGTTATTGCTGTATTTTGTTTTGAGGATTACATGAGCTAATGTTTAAAGAATTTAAAACACTGCCTTGTATGCAGACATCAATAACTGTTAGCTCTTAATGCTCCCGTGTGTATTCTAACAGCTTCCCCCATCCTGTACTCACGTAGTTTGTTTTTCTTTAAAAAACAGGTGGTTGAGAAGGATGCAAAGAAGCCTATTGTGGTCTACTATTAGCAAGTGAGAGAGAAGTAAAGTAAAATCAAATGTATAAATGTTGATGGGCAAAGAAGGCAGGCCTCTGGGCGCTCTCTCTGGTTGGTGGCCTTATCTCTAGTTCATGCCTTCCATATTGCCTTATGCTTTTTCCTTTCTGTCAGTATTTCTACCCGCTGTGGCAAGCCTTCCAGGTTGTAACTGAAGGTAATCTTGTAGCTCCACCTTTCCTGCTTGCTACTTTGCGTTTTTGTAGGGAGACACAGGACAGTGCACCAGCATTCTGCCTTCACCATCTTAGCCAAGTTCATGCTCAGCTACCCTGCAGCTGCACACAAGCACAGGTCTCGGGCCATCCCAGTGCCCTGATGAGCTGCCCCCAAGTACTCAGATTTTCTGTAGCTCAATGCCACCAGGCTTTGCTGTGATTTGGGTTCTAAGGGTGGACAGTATTCATGAGTGAGAATTTCAGAAATTTATAGTTTATCTTCCAAATTACTAAAAAACTAAAGCACAGTACACACCTATTAGAGTGGCCAAAAAGCACACTGGCAACACCAAATACTGACAACAGTGGAGCAACAGCAATTTTCATCATTGCTGGAAGGAATGCAAAATGGCACAGCCATTCAGGAAGATATTTTTACCATATGATCTAGCAATTCTGCTCCTTAGCACTTATTCCCAGGAGTTGAAAACTTATATGTATACAAAAAATACACACAGATGTCTATAGCAGCTTTATCCACAATTGCCAAAACCTGGAAGCAACCAAGATGGCCTTAAACTGTGGTACACCTAGACAACAGGATATTATTTATTGCTAAAAGGAAATTAGTTGTCAAATTACAGAAAGACATGGAGGAAACTTCAATGGATATTATTAAGTGAAAGAAACCAATCTGAAAAGGCTACATGCACATGGTTCTAACCAAATGACATTCTGGAAAAGGCAAAAGTATGGAGACAATCAAAGATTGGGATTGACAGGGATTGTGGGGAGAAAGGGACTAAGAGGAGAAGCACAGAGGATTTTTAAGGCATTGAAACTACTTTGTATGTTGCTTTAATGGTAGACATGGCATCATTGTACGTTTGTCCAAATCTATAGAATGTAAAACAGCAAGATGAACCCTAATATAAACTATAGACTTGGATGATAATGCTGTGTCAATGTAGGTTCATTTATTGTAATAACAGATGTACCACTCTGGTGGGAGCTGTTGATAGTGGGGGAGGCTGTACATATGTGGTAACAAGGGGTGTGTAGGAATCATGTACTTTCCACTCAATTTTGCTATGAGCCAAAATTTCCTTTTAAAAAATAATTGGAATTGGAAGTGTGGTTTAAGTGGTAGAGCTCTTGCCTGGCACGCAAGAGGTCCTGGATTCAATCCCCTATACAGTCAAAAAAAAAAATTATCAAGTCACATTCCCTGCTGAAGACCCTTCAATATCTACCTACCACTTCATAAACAGAAAAAGCCCCAAACTGCATGTTGTGGTGTGCAGGACCCATGTGATCTGGTCCCAGCCTACTTCTCTAATCCCTTCTGATTCCACTCACCCAGACTTAAAATGTTCATTTACTCTAACCTCCTGGAC